TTCCCAGACCACCGCCTCCCAGCCATTCCATCGCGTAAAGATCGAGCTTTATTAACATGTATCCCGAAGAACCCCCCAGGTTGTGGCTATAAAGAAGCCGAAAGGCTTGGTCTTATACCAGAAGCACTGAAAAAGTCTACTAGGAGTGATGGTAGACCGTACGCGAGGATTAAAGAGGCTGCTCTCGTACCAACCATCACTACCACATCCAACATGCGAGACAATTACAATGGTGCAAGTGTTCACTGGGACCAAGACAGGTCTATCAGCATCTTGGAGGCACGGCGTGCACAAGGCTATCCAGACGACGAGCCCATCATTGGCAAGCTCAAAGAACAATACAAGATCGTTGGCAATGGTGTGGACCGGAAGGTAGCTTTCGCAATGGGTCTTTCGCTATCTCAGGCCATCGAAAAAAATGCATCTGATTTCGCCGCCAATGGGATGACACCAAGTGCAAGTGAAATGTATTCTCTTGCCGATGATACAGAGGATGAGAAAAACGTTACCTCGGCGTTGTCACAGGAGCACCGGTATTCTGGCTCAGTCGCCAAAAGAGACAGCGAATACCTTGAATTAGATGTCGATAGGCCATCAGAAACATCTCCTCGAACGTCCACGCTATCACAGACAGATACTGTCCAAGAAGCACCAGGTCTTCGCAAACGTCTATCGCAGCATTTCACCAACAGCATCGGTAGACTCTCACTACAATCACCATCAAAGAACCAGACATTATCCATTCTTACCAAACGCAGAAGAGAGCCGGATACAGGTGATGAAGAAATAGTCACAGTAGAGACTTCTTCGCCCTCAGAGCGTCCAGGGAAACGAGCCAAGCCAAGCCGAAAATCGCAGTCTTCTGCCGTAACTGCAGGTGAAAGCCATCGGAAGGATTCTATGAGCAGTAGCGGAAGATCAGCCAGCTCATCAGCTCAGTGACGAACTCGGCATTCCAAACTGACAGTCGAATTTGTGCCGAAACAATGGAATAAGAGACCGGAGAAAGAGCACAACGACCGCACTTGGTGAGATGGTTGGTCAAAGATCGGACTGGGTTGAGGAAGCAGGGTGGTGTAAGGAGGTGACAAAAAAGAGATGAGATGCTCATATGGCGAATTGGACGACAACGTTCGTGGCATAGGAGGATCTGATATTTTGATCTCTGTGACGCTGAAATTTGCTTGACTGATCGGAAATACCACCATATAGTCACATGTGATAATGTAAATAATGGACGGAACAGATGAGCTTCCACTCCGTCCGACCATAGTGGCATATACTTGCAGATAGTTCCAATCCAGATCTAACAACATTTCATGCTCATTTCAACATCGAAATTGCTTTCTAGTGACTAATCTCGTCGTTGTCCACTCTACTTCCACACCACCCCCCACGTCTCCTCCCCCCTCCTAAACGGCACAACCTCGACACCCACATCCCCCTTACTCAAAACATCAACCACCTTCCCCCCACCCCTCTTTAACACAATCCTCTCTTCCTTGTCATCTCCTACCCCATAAAACGCCCTTCCCCAACCGCCCGGAAACCCCTCCAAGGCCTCCATACTAACATGCTCCTCCCTAATAACTTCCCTCTGAACCCCCACCTCCAGCGCATCAAGGACATACCCCACCGCATACGGCTGCGTGAAAAAATCCCGCCGCAAACTTATCCTCGCCCCGCTTCTTACCCCCGTGCATGCCGCCGCCGAACCCGGGCCTAGGTAGAAATTTCTCCTTGCTGCTCGCATGCATAATTGGGCGAAACAATGCATCTCTAATCTCTGTGGGTCTTGGCTACGGGCTTGCAGAAGCAAAAGGGGTCGCCGGCCCAGTCATCAATGATGAGGCTGAGGTGGTGCGCGGTTATTGTTCCGACGACGGTTGGGCCGCAGGACAGAACCGCGGTGAGGGCCGCGGCGGTGCTGCAGTGTTCGAGGATTATACGGAGGCGGGGGAAGGTGGTGTGCAGGGAGAGGAGGGTGGGGAGGAAGGCGGGTTCGGCGTTGAGGATTGTGATTGCGGGGTTTGTGGTGGTGGATGAGGTGGTGGAGGGGGCGGAGGGGGGTGTGGAGGGAACTTCGCCGTGGAGGTTGAGGACCATGTTTTGCGCTTCCATTTCTGCGAAGACGGGGTAGAAGAGTTTGTAGTCTAGGACGCCGGAGGAGGAGTTCTGTTGGTTTGGGGGTTGGGATTAGTTTGGGGCTTATTCTTTTCTGTTGTGGACGACTCCTCTCTCTTTTGGTTGTTTCTTACCCTACTTTCTCAAATACAGTGATATGAAATGGGGATGCAGAAACTCACAGTTGTAACACCAGCTGGATACGATTTCACACCCGTGATTCCCACTTTCTTGGCCTCGCGAATCGTCTCTGGGGTAATCGATTCGTGCAGATAGAGTGACATGAGATAATCGACGTTGGGCTCTATAGCACGCAGCCTGTCACGGTAATCAAGACATTGTTGCACTGTTGTAATGGGCGGCACGAGGTTAGGCTGCTCGATAGTTAGTCATTCAGTTTAGAGTCTATAAACACGGAACAGAGAGTAGTCATGTTAAGAAAGTATGAGTGATGACTAGCATGCAGAAACAGGGTTCAAAGAATATGTTCTTTTTGCATGTACGACGCGCGACCAGAGAATGCAAAAAGAAGTATAGTAGACCCGAATAAAAATAGAGCATGTCTTAGGAGAGGAAAAACTGAAAAGACTAGAAACGTCAAACTCACCATAACATAAACCTGGTTCACACCCCCCTCTCGAATCGTAGGTGTGATCAACTTGGACATATCCCCATCGCGCAAATGCACATGTGCGTCAAATGCTGCGGGCAGCTCTATCTCTTGCACCTTTGTAAACTCCATTTCGTCACAGAAAAGTCGTGTTCGTAACGGGTGTTCGTAGTAACGTAGTTTACCCCAGTGTTGGAAATTTGAGGTCGATCCAATGCGGGGGTACGCGCTAGTACAAAAAGGGTAAGCATCACCACTTTCGGTATCTAGTTATTTCCAGAATGTGTAGATACGAAGTTTTGGCTTTCTGATCAATTGCAGGGGTTGATTTCTAGATCTATGCTGAATGGGTATAGGTGGTGTAACTCTACATTGAACGAGCAGAAAACAAAAAAGTACTAGGATTTGGCGTGGTGCAAATCCACTGTGTGAGATGACGCCGTGCAGTGGTACGTGGTACCCAACGTTGCGCAGGTGCGTATGGTGCTTCGTGTCGATAGCCTTCTCGCTACGATCCCGCGCCGTGGCGAACTCAAGTGCTGGCAACCGGGGATGTAACAGGTGTGTTCAACATTCCCGCCGATGCCTCATTCTCGAGCGAAATCTTCATCTCCAGCCACGAGTAGAAGTTGGGAGATCTGCAAAACGTCTCGTATAACCCGTCCCTTGCTCTGTGTCGCTGGATCGGCCCATTCCCGCGGAAGTTGACGCTGGTGCCGTATTTCCTTACACTACTCAGGAAATCCGGTACACTGAAACTCGCGTAACGGTTCATTCCGCCAGGTGTTACGACGTTTGATGTGGCAAGGTAGCGATTGATGGGCGCGATGAATTGTGCAGTGAGTTCGGCAAAGTGACGTCGAATGATGGGGCCCAGCTCACGCGTTTGATCGCCGAGCTTGAGCAGAGTTTCGATTTGCGAGAGAATGGTAGGATCAGATTTGAGGAAGCGTTTGGACGGTGTGTGGACTTCAATTCCGCCGCCGGGTAGATCTAGCAATGCGTTACGACTGGACTTGTGGTGTAGCGAGTGGTGGCGCCGCGTCGGTACGGGACCATCAAAGTTCTGGAGGTACAGTATGTGCGGTCTGGCCTTGTGGCTGGCTTCTGCTGCAGCGACGATACGCTTTAGAAGGAATGGGTTGGTGATACCGATAACGAAAGATATCGGGGTGCCGCCATCGATGCCAATGCTCTTGAAATTTGCCTGCATGGTCATGTAAGGCTTGACCACACCAGCGTATGGTACTGGGCAAATGAGATCGACGAGTGAAGACACAGCCTCACTCGCTAGCTGAGGCGACTTTGCAATGACGATTACGCTTTCACAGAGTACTAGCTTTTCGTAAAGCACGTAAAGGTCAGTGATGCAGGGCATGTAGTGCATGATGTTGTCCCAAGAGCCTATCGGTTCATATGCATAAATGGAGAGGGGTGTGTCTGAGATCAAAGGAGTTGGTCCTGGGAGGCCCTGCAACGGGAACGATCGATGAGGCGCAATGTCCAATGCCAAGTTGTTTCCCATAAACGGGAGGTCGTGATGTCCCAAAGCCGGCGGGTGCCATGTATTCATTTGTGAGTAGGCCGCTTCTATGGTCGATGGGTCGCTGATATGGCCTGTTTCTGTCATCTTTCGTAGGAGGCGATGGTGGAAGGCGGTGAAGTTGTGATGCGAGATCAAGACCAGCGTCCTTTGATTAAAACTCCTTTTCATGGTATCGTCGAACTCCTGGCGGAAGATGCACGAGCCATAGAGAGTATCAGAACTACCATGAGGGGCATTGGGCGAAGTTAGTTTGATGTCAGGGGAGTTGTTGGTAATGGCAAAGTCGTAGGCAAGATCCTCAGCGGTCTCGGTGTTTTGCTGCTCAGGGAAACTGGGCTGTCTTAGATGGGCGGCACACAAGTCAGACGAATGTGTGGTACCTGTTGAAGCAGATGGCGCTTAGATCGGCTGTCGCGAACGGGACATCTGGTGGGTATAGTATCTCGATTTCTGGGCTATTGAACTCTCAACTTGCTGTCTCGGTAATGCAGCATTCTTCCTCACCTACCCTATATCGACATTGAAGTTGCAAACAATGCTGTCCATGTCAGACGCGGACACGAGCGACGTGCAGTGCAACTTACAAGGCCACGGCCCAGTACTTGAAGCCTCCTGTTGCGATGGGCGACATCTTCGGCTCCCGCAGCTTCTCCATCTCTTCCTCGCGCCGGGAGCGGCGATGGGAGCTCAGAAACTTATTCTTGAACTTCTCCATGGGCCTGGTTGAGGCACCTGACAAGTGCAGGTGAACGGTGGACGATGTGAGGCGGCGGCGGCTGCTATCAGGCTGGGCCAATGGTTCTGACTCGGATCGACTTAGCAAATTAGCGAGCTCGGAGACTGACGACCATCATGACAGTGAGGGACGTGGAGAGGAGCTATGGGTCGTCGTTGGCACATGATTTTGCCAGGGGCTGCGCCGTGAAGGTCGCTTTTGGGCAAAATGTCTCGTTTATGGGGGGTTGAGTCGGCTGGCGCAGGGATACAGGCGCTTCTGTACGATGACGTGCGGGCCATGCTCGCGTGGCTCGGATCATCAACACCAACCAGCATCGTGAGGGCTGTGGTTCTGCTTAACCGTCCCGTATTCTACCAAAACCACCGCCCCGCTACTACCCCGCCTCCCGCACAACATGCAATACCTTCGCTGCTAGCACTATGAAACCCGCTCTGCATTTCTTCCTCCCGTGCTCACCATGGACGCCAATATCACTAAAGCGCTCAATGATAAGCTCTACGACAAGCGCAAGAGCGGAGCACTCGAGCTCGAAGGCCTCATCCGCGATGCCCTCGCCGTCCAGGACCACGATAGGATAGCCAAGATCGTGCACCAGCTCTGCCACGAGTACGCCTATGCCGTCCACCAGCCACATGCCCGCAACGGCGGCCTCATTGGCCTGGCCGCGGCCTCGATAGCCCTGGGACCTGTTCGTAGATATGGTATTGCACGCAACGTGAATGGAAGCCTGACTGCATAGCAGGAAGTCGCTCGCTATCTCGAAGAAATCGTTCCCCCAGTACTGGCCTGCTTCAGCGACCAAGATGCGCGTGTTAGGTACTACGCGTGCGAGAGCATGTACAACATCGCCAAAGTTGCAAAGGGTGAGATACTCGTCTACTTCAACCAGGTCTTTGACGCTCTGTGCAAGGTAAGGCAACCACCCCCACTGGCAGTCAACTGCGGCACTGAGAGTACCACTAACACGGCACGGGCTGACCAGATGGCCGCCGATTCGGAGCTCTCGGTCAAGAATGGCGCAGAGTTGCTCGACCGCCTGATCAAAGACATTGTATCCGAGTCTGCCGCTAGCTACGTCTCCGTACTACACACTTCGCCCGACCAGCAGGATCCCAATGACGAACCCCATCCCTACGCCTTCAGCCTCGAACGCTTCCTGCCCCTCCTCGAAGAGCGCATCAACGTCCTTAATCCGTACACACGCTCCTTCCTTGTGGCATGGATAACGCTGCTAGACTCCATACCCGATCTCGAGCTCATCGCCCATCTTCCTCGTTTCCTCGGCGGCCTGTTCAAGTTCCTGAGCGACAGCAACACCGACGTATATACCATGACACAGGCCGCGCTAGATAGATTTCTAAGTGAAATCAAGAAGATCGCACGCATCAAGAAGGGCATAGCCGATAGTAAGAGGAGCAACAGCAAAGACGAGCGTAGACACTCTGCCGATAGCCTACATAGTGCGAGTGAGGCGACAGACACTACGCCCATGGAGCCACTTGACTCCATGGACGACAGAAACGACATGAGCGGGGAAAGTGCGTCTGTCTCAGAGGACAGTGACAAGTCGGTCACTGGAGACGAGAACTGGATACCAGGCCAGGACGTGCATGTCGACCACCCCAAGATCCTGGAGATATTGGTCGACTTCCTGGTTCCTCCGCCAGGCAAGTCCTCAGCGTACGGTGCTATGGCAACACAGCTAACTCTAACAGACACCGAGGAGGAGCAAACCGAGATAGTGCTCACTGCTCTCCGTTGGATAGATAACTTGTTCGATATTTGCCCAGAAGACATTATGCCCTTCGTTCCGAGCCTCCTGTCGCACGTCTTGCCAAGAATGTCACACGAGGTCGACACGGTTCGCAAAGCGGCGGTCAAGGTCAACGCCGCGCTGATGGACTACATCCTGTCTCTGTCTGACGACAATCGCCTTCGGGATGGTGCCGGAAGCGGACAGATCCAACTCCCACCATCCCTGTCTGAGCTCGGTAAAGAGCTCACTGGCACACAGCGGCGCGATTCGAACTTGTCTGGCAGGTTGCTCAAGGCAGTCATTCGGGACCAAGCAAACAAAGCCGAATCGCCTGATGGCAAGGCCACGCGTTCCTCCACCCCAGCAGAGGCAGAGGAACGAGGTCCATCGCCACGCCCCATACCTGAGTTGGACTATCAAGCTGCCGTCAGTGCTCTGACGTTGCAGTTTTTGAACGAACACGAAGCCACCAGAGTCGCAGCTATAGCATGGCTGATTATGCTCCATAGGATGGCTCCTGGCAGAGTGAGACAGACCTCTCTCAGGTATTGTAAGCTTATTAACAACCATGCAGATACTCACCGTCGACGATGGTACTTTTCCTGCACTCCTCAAGACGCTCTCCGACCCTTCAGATGCAGTTGTTACCCGCGACCTACTTCTGCTTTCTCAAATCTCATTACACAGCGATGATACCTACTTCACATCATTCATGGTTAACCTCCTGAAGCTGTTCTGCACTGATCGTAGGCTGCTCGAGACTCGTGGCAATCTCATTATCCGACAGTTATGTCTTACACTCAGCGCTGAGCGTATATATCGGACCATGGCCGACTGTCTCGCTAAGGATGAAGATGTAGAGTTTGCGAGCATAATGGTTCAGAATCTCAACAACAACCTCATCACTGCGCCCGAACTGGCCGACCTACGGAGACGACTGAGGAATCTTGACAATAGGGTAAGAAAACCTTGTCCATCATGCACTAAAATACTAACAAACACAGGACGGACAATCATTTTTTGTTACATTATTCAAGGCTTGGTGCCACAACGCCGTAGCGACCTTCTCACTATGTCTTCTAGCACAAGCTTACGAACAGGCATACCATTTGCTTCAGGTCTTGTAAGTTGTTTAATGGAGTTATTATGAGCTGCAGTACTGACTTGACCCAGCGCCGATCTTGAGATGACTGTCAACATGCTCATTCAGATCGATAAGCTCGTTCAACTTCTTGAATCACCAGTCTTTACCTGTGAGCATCTCCGACCTAATCTAACTGAAACAGACTGACAACCATCTTTAGACCTCCGCATGCAACTCCTCGAGCCGGAAAGATACCCGTACCTGTACAAGTGCATGTACGGGCTACTCATGCTTCTCCCCCAATCCTCGGCCTTTGCAGCGCTTAAGAACCGCCTCAACAGCGTCTCGGCCATTGGCTACTTGCACATTGCGCCCCAGCGCAGCAGCTCGACGTATGTCCACCCCTCTTCTTCGTCCCCTACCCTAAACCACTTGCGGCAAAAAAGCTCAGAGATTGGGTCAAACAGTAGTAGCGGCAGCGGTATGACCTCGTCTGGAGGGCCTAATATCCCCACTTTTGAAAGGCCTGGCAGGCTGAAACCGAGAGATGGACTGGGTGGTGCAGATGCAGGTGGGACTGTCAAGTGGAGTGAGTTGCTAGATAGGTTCAAACAGACGCAAGAGAAGGCTCGACGCAGTCAGCGAATGGCTAGCTTGGGCGAGGAGGAGGAAATCCAGGAGAAGATGGGTCCGACGGTGCCAACGCCTTCTGCGCCGCCAAAAAGTGTTGCGGGGTTGAGGCCAGGGAGCCCAGCGGGGGCGATGAGACCGCCTCCTGTGCCAGCACCAGTGGGCCCAGTGCCGGGACATAAGCCAAGGTCTAGTCTAAGCAATCTGGGTAGATTTGCTGGTGGTGTTGCTGGACGGAGGAAGGACAAGAAGTAATAACCAGCCATGTTTTCATGATTGATGCGTTTGCGCGAGTGGGCACAAGCTGCATTGCAGGCGTCGTTTTGGGAGCAATGATGGGGCTTTTATGGAGTTCTTCAGCATGGTCGGCGTCAATGCAGAGTATTGCTTCAACGATGTTTGCCCTTTCTGAACCTGACGCCATCGCCGTCTTTTTCCTTCCACCCCGTCGTGTCTCCTTCAGCTGCATCTGCATGCTCGCCCAGAACCCATGTCTTGACAATCTCTTTGATCTCGGGTTTTTTCTTCTCAAGCCTCTTGGCCTCGCGCACCTTCCTCACATAACCACCGTACACGGCCACTTCGGCAATAGCGATGCCGGCGGCTCCTCCCATGCTCAATCCCAGCCTACTTCCCACACTCCAGCTCCGCGCAGCCACCCAAATGAAAACGGCAACACAGACAATGGAGACTAATATGTTTATGATTAAGATGATCTGACGGTGGACTTCTTCGTAGGACACGTCGTCTTCTTCGGCGGAGGCCTTGTGAGTGGCGCCGATGCTAAAGGGCTCTGGGGCACGAGGGAAGCGTTGCGAGAAGGATTCGCGAGTAGGGGTTGGGTGCAACATTCTTTCGTAGGAGAGAGCTTCTTGTTCGGCGCGGAGACGGGCCATGAGGGCCTGGTATTCTGGTGTTTGGGCAGGCTTCGGGGGCGGTGGTGGGGTGTAGATTGTGGTGTTTTGAAGGAGGGCTGCCAGGGTTATTGGAGTTTCCTTTACTACTTCTTCAGTCCCTTTGCTACTCTCAGTATCGTAAGGTGCATGCTTCTTGAGTAGCTTGGAAAGGTCAATCAACTGGCTATGTGCAATGGGATGCCCAGCTTTGGGTTCCACAAGCACGGGTTCTTCTGGGCGCTGCAGCTTTGCGAATTCATCGGGCACTGCATCCCGGGCTCTTGTAACAGCCCGGACGATACCGGGGGTCATGGTAAGTAGCACCATGTTTGATGAGTGTGTTGTGGTGGGAAAGTCGGCCTTTCGCTCGCGCAGACACGCCGCGTAGTGAGCAGCGACAGGGATGTACGGATGAGACAGGGTAGTTGATTCCGAACGTCATGATATTTTGGATTGGACAAATCTAGCCGATATCAACGAAGACGACTTTGTCCTAGCTCGTCTCACCACCACCCACCCTCTTTCCAGGCCCTGGGACCCGCATACACTCGCTCAATTGCACGTCTACTTGCTTCTTCCGAGATATTCAAGACCACATTCCTTCCATGACGAGCCGTACACCCCGGCTCGCCGCCTCGGTCGCGCGACAGCAAGCTTCCTCAACAATCCTCCGCCCATCATGTCCCTACCATAACGCCGCCTTCTCTCGCTCGCCGCAGAGTCAAAATGCAACAAAATCACTATATCACCCCTCGAGACGGCGGTATCAGTCGTCATGGGCAGCTGCCGCGCACGTTGCGCAAAACGTCATGTCGTCGCCCCCACCAGATGCGCCCATCAAAATGGATCCCTTCCAAACCGTAGCACGAGAGATGAAGTTTCTCACCGGAAACATACGCCAATTACTAGGTTCTGGACACCCCACCCTGGATACCGTGGCCAAATACTACACGCAGAGTGAGGGCAAATATGTGCGACCCATGCTGGTTCTGCTCATGAGCCGAGCGACGGCGCTCACACCCCGAAGTTCAAGAGGAGGCATGGGCATTGGAAGTCAAAGTGCAGATATTTCCATAACAAACCCAACTATTCTTGCAGATGAGAACCCAGATTGCAACCCCATTAGCAGTATACGACACGACTCTGCCTACACGAGCGAAGACAGCGATATCCTCCCCAGCCAACGCCGATTAGCAGAAATCACCGAACTCATCCACACAGCTTCTCTACTACACGACGATGTCATCGACCACTCCGTCTCCCGGCGTTCCGCACCATCGGCAAACGTCGAGTTCGGCAACAAAATGGCCGTGCTGGCAGGCGACTTCCTCCTAGGAAGAGCCTCCGTTGCGCTAGCCCGACTCCGCGATCCAGAAGTCACTGAGCTCTTAGCAACCGTCATCGCAAACCTAGTCGAGGGCGAGTTCATGCAACTCAAGAACACTGCGCGCGACGACAAGAACCCGGCGTGGACTGAAGATACCGTTTCTTACTACCTCCAGAAAACATACCTCAAATCGGCCTCGCTCATCTCCAAAAGCTGTCGTGCCGCTGCTATTCTTGGCGGCTCAACACCAGATGTTGTAGAAGCGGCGTATCTCTACGGCAAGAACCTCGGCCTCGCTTTCCAACTTGTAGACGACATGCTCGACTACACCGTCTCCGAGGCTGAACTAGGGAAACCAGCTGGCGCAGATCTAGAACTTGGGCTTGCGACTGCGCCACTGCTTTTTGCGTGGAAGGAGGATGAGAGTTTGGGACGGTTGGTTGGAAGGAAGTTTTCACAGCAAGGGGATGTGCAACGGGTAAGTTCAAATGAACATGCATGTGAGGATTGGAAAAGGCTAATTATGATGTAAAATAGGCAAGAGAGATTGTAGCACGTAGCTCAGGTCTCGAGCAAACGCGTGCCCTGGCGCAGGAATACGTCGATAAAGCTATTGAAGCGATATCCTTCTTCCCCGAAAGCGAAGCCAAGACGGGTCTGGTGGAGATGTGCACAAAGGTTATGAAGAGGAGGAAATGAAGACGTCACCATCGTATCTGTTGTATTGTGAACAAGATTGAAAGCAAAAAGCTTTGGGAATAGCAACACCATCGAAGCTGGACACCTAGTGAGGCATGTTTATTATACCTTTTGTATGGCGGGTAAATCGAGGGTTTACTTATCGTAAGGCATGAAGCGGCAAGAGAGGAATAATGGATCAACATGTCACGTAAGCAGAATCAAAGCAGCTTACTTGCGTTATTCCGTTTTTCTCTAGCCATGGTTTGGGGGGAGGGATGGCAAAAAACTCTACTTTCTGTACATGTACACAATGTTTGGGTTTGGGAGTCGCTGGGGGGCTTCAACGTGGTTGAAAGGATTAGTCGCAATGCAGGAAATGACGATATTCATAATTCAAGGCTCATCACTCAATCCACGTCAACATGATGTCCAATTCCTTATTTTGCTAATATGCCCATGTTGACCACGCAATCTGCATTCTATATATCCTGTTCGAAAGGACGCACAAGTTGCCCTTTTGCTTGCAAGTGGTCTTTGACCTGCTTGACCGTATATTCGCTTCTGTGAAACTGTGGAGAGAGTCAGCAATCCGTTCCATAATCCATCAAAGTAGAGGACTGCTAAACTCACCATTCCAGCCCCAAGTGCAGCATCCGTCCTGGTCTGCGCAAACACGTCTTCAAAATGTCCTGGGTGTCCCGCGCCACTACTCGCGATAACCGGAATCTTAATCGCGTCCTTGACATCATTGATAAGTTCAGTGTCGAATCCGCTATTGCTGCCATCCTTGTCTATACAGTTTAATAGAATCTCGCCTGCGCCCATGGCTTCGACGGCAGTGACGAGTTGTCGGACGTCAAAGTCGCGGCCTTCGCGTCCACCCTTGATGGTACATTGGTACCAGCAGTATTGCTCGCCGTTTGGTCCTGGGGTAGCAGTCTTGATGGTGTGGTGGGGTGTAGCGTCTGGCGAGGCGACGTAGACGCGCTTTGGGTCTACGCTGATGACGACGGCTTGGTTGCCGTAGGCTGAGGATATAGTTTCTATGGCTGTGGTTCCGGATAACTTACCGCCGCGCGCATAGTACTCTTCTGCTGCGGTGACGGCGTCGGAGCCTATGCTTACTTTGTCGGCGCCTGATTTGAAGTACATGGTGGCGATGTCCAGGGCTGAGATTTTGGTTCCGTCCGTATCTACTGTGTCGCGTATGCCTCCGCCTATTGTGAGTGGGACAAAGACTGTTTCACTGGTTCGACGAAGGATCTCGAGCATGGGCGTGTCGGCCACCGGGCAGTTGCGGAATGATGTGATGTTGAGGAAGGTGACTTCGTCGGCGCCTTGCTCGTAGTATTTCTTGGCCATGTCGACGGGCTTGCCCAGATTTCGTACCGCATTTCCGGCGCCTTCTTTCTCTCGGACATCATATTGGTCGCCCTTGGTCACTACAAGATCGCCTTGGTCGTTTGTCCGGACGTCGAGACATGCGATAACACGCCTGGTAAGCCCTTCTCTTATATCAGCGTCTGATGGCTTCTCGGGCAGTGGCGACAGCCTGTTCTGGTCTAGGAATGCCTTAAGGACACGCAGTCCTGCAGCTCCACTCTTCTCGGGGTGGAACTGAGTGGCAAAGATGTTGTTTTTGGCGACTGCGCCCACAAACTCCTCATCGCCGTAGCGCGCAGTTGCAATTGCCCAGCCATGCTTTTCTAACTCGCCCTCCTTATAAAGCGCGGCATATGAGTGGACGTAGTAGTACTTGGATGTTGGTCGCAGTCCGTACAGCGATTGGTCAGTCATGTCGCCTTGCCGCGAAGTGTTGGCGCTATTCCATCCGATGTGCGGTACGCTCTTGTCTGTGTCGCGGGAACTTGCGCAGTTTGGTCGGAATGAAGCCGAAGCCTTTGACCTTCTCATCTTCTTCCGAGCCTTCAAATAGCGCCTGCAGACCAACACAAATTCCCATCAGTGGTTTCCCGGCTTTGACGTGTTCGCGAATCGGCTCCATGTAGCCTGCATTCTGTAGCTGCGAGAGACAGTGACCAAAGTGGCCTACACCAGGAATGATGAGTTTCTACGGGCGATGCTGTATCAGCACCTGTCAATTGATGTGCGATTCTTTATAAACGGGTCTTAGTAGTACCTCTGCAGCAGGGACATCAGTAGGTGACTTGACCCATTCTACGGTATAGCCGACTTTCTCAATGGCATTTACCAAAGATCTAACATTGCCAGCAACATAATCGAGCAAGTGAACGGTCGGCATCTTGAAGAGTCTTGAAGAATGACACAAAGAAGAAGACAGGACGAGAGTGACTCCAACGCGACGGTAAAGGGAAATTTGGATGCACCCCGCCGTCATTGGAGGGGTACCACGCTACCCACTAGCGCCCGCAGCACCCCTGTCACGAATCTTGGCATCTAATGTTCGTCTTCGCGCCCAACTTTTCGCCGACGTACAACCAACCCATCTTAACGCGCCGCACGTAAAGACATATTAAGTAAATCTTCAACATGGTGCGCAAACTCAAGCACCACGAGCAGAAGCTCCTGAAGAAGGTATGTGCCAACCAGCGCATTCGACAGACGCGCGAAGCTCCAGACCAAAGTCTTCGACGCCATACAGGAAACCTCTTCGAGTGCTGATTCCAGGTTCCCAGGTCGACTTCAACACATACAAAAGCGACAATGATCATCGGGAAGCAGCGGTAATGCGCCGCTATGCCATCCAAGGCCGAGACGACTACCGAAAATACAACCAGCTCGCTGGTTCTCTGCGACAACTCGCGCACAAGATTGCCGCCTTGGACCCGTCGGATCCGTTCAGAAGAAAACATGAAGACTTGATGCTGGAGAAGCTTTGGGATATGGGAATTCTCGGTACTGGTGGAGGCGGCAGGGGGAAGCTGAGCGACATCGAGCATAAGGTTACTGTGTCTGCGTTTGCACGGAGGAGATTGCCTGTTGTAATGACCCGGCTGCGCATGTCGGATCATATCCAGGCGGCAACAACCCTTATCGAGCAGGGGCACGTCCGCGTTGGAACGGACGTTATCACCGACCCGGCATATCTCGTCACAAGGTGAGTGGCTGGGAAGCACGTTGCATGACGTGAGCTGTGGCTAACTAGTCCAGGAACATGGAGGACTTTGTGACCTGGGTCGACTCTTCCAAGATCAAGCGCAACATCATGAAGTACCGCGACAAGCTGGACGACTTCGAACTCGAAGCCGTATGAGATGATTACCTGATTTATTGTGAATGGGCGTTATGGGCTTCTACAGCATCTCACGGCGTTACGGCATGACCTTTGATATCCGGATATAAACAAAATTCAATCCTTTACGCTTCGCATTTATGGCGAAGCTACGTCCGAAACAACAAAGCCTTTCCATCCATCCATCGTCTCACGACATTGCTTCTCGTAGTTACTGATACCCAAGATATACAGCTGATTCTCCGCCTTTTTACCCGGAACATTACTCGTATTCCACCACGAGTCCGTGTGCGGGTACAATGTACGGCTTGTCGACACATCAATACCCTCCTTCCACCCTTCCTCCGCCTCCCTCGTCGGCTCGATAATCTTGTTCATTCCCAGCCTAACAATTGTATCGCACGCAAAATCGCACTGACATTCTATAACCGTCGGTCCATTCGCCAGCGCATTCGGTGCCTGGCGCGAGTAAACCATAAACGCATTGGGGAACCCATGTACCATCATCCCCAAATACGTCCGCACGCCATCTTGCCACACATCCTTGATATCCACGCCATGCTTATTCTTGAGACCCATACTCGTGACCGATCCAGTGATACTATCGAACCCTGTAGCACACACAATGCAATCGAACTCTCGTTCCTGGTCACCCAGCTGTAGCCCTCGTTCGGTAAACCCGCGTATGCCACAGTCCTTCAGATCCAGAATATCAATATTCTCCTGATTCAGTACATCGTAGTAATCTTGCTCCAACGGCGTACGCTTCGTACTAAAGTAAAACGACATCTCATCCCGCGCCATCAACGCCTGTTTCTTACAGTCCGTCAATCGCTGCCGTACCTTTTTCTTCCAAAACTCGTACACCAATTCATTCGCCTCTTTATCCAGCATGATGTTGTTGTAATTTCGCAGCAGGAACTGCATACCACCCGCCGCCCAAATCTCCTCAAAGTAGCTCTCTCGCTCCTCGGTGGGGACATCTTGTGCACGCTTGTTCAACCGTGTGTTCGGTATTCCGACGGCGGAAGCGCGTGCGGCGGCAAGTAGTACGGGGAGGTTATCGCGGAAAGCGGTTATCTCATCTGGAGACCATGTTTTTTGCACCATGGGGAGGCAGTAGGATGGGCGACGTACGAGGAGTGTGAGATGGGATGCTTGTTTGCCTAGTTCTTGGGTGAGTTGAACGGATGTTGCTCCTCCGCCTATGATGGCGACTTTTTTGCCTTTTACCCTGATGCCTTCGTTCCATTGTGCTGGATGGATTAGAAGGCCCTTGTAGTTGGCTTTTCCGGGCCAGGAGGGGGTGTATGGTTTGTGCAGGAGCCTTGTTGCTAGGACTAGCCATCTTGATCTGGCTGTCACTCCTGACTCAGTTCGGATCGTCCAATCTGCGATGCTGTTGTCCCAGGTACAACCACACACTCTTGCGTTGAATGTTGTGTCGCGCCGTAGTCCGAGCGCCTTGTCAATGTGCGCCATGTACCTTCTCAGCTCGTGGTGATCGGGGAAACGCGAGGAAAAGGTCCATGTGTTGTAGACTTCGGGGATGCTGAGTTGGTAGAAGGGTGTTTCGCTGTCAACACGTGCGCCGGGATATCGGTTACAGTGCCATGCTCCGCCAAAGTCGGATCCTGTTTTGTTTGAGGATTAGTATTTTGAAGAGAAAGAGACAGGAGAGTGGAAGTTGCGAACCGGCTTCGAAGATGTGGGAATGGAGGCTTTGATTACGGAAACGGTGGAGAGCGCTGATGCCCGAGAAACCGGCGCCTATGATTATGACGTCGTATTTCTGGTCTTGAGTTGTAGGAACAGGGCTGTGTGAGTTGAGCAGGGGTGGTGTTCGTAGCATAGTACTAGAATTATATGTTTGAGACGGACACGAGAGATGTATTCAGTGGTGCTATATAGAACGCTAGAAGATCGGAAGAGGAGTGAGGAAGATAGCGACGCATTCGAACAAGAGAGAGTTAGAAAGACTATTAATAAAAAAACGCATTATTTTCAAGTCCGGGAAGTTTCCTAATAGATCGCTGAACTGTTCGAGCCATCCTCGTAAGCCCTTCCTGTCATTCCTGCAGCTGTCTTACCCTTGTCTTTTGAACAAGTCGGTATTGGCCAAAACCTTATTATGAGACGGAAAGGACATTAGTTCATTCCTGGCGTTGTGGTTCGTTCGATCGTGGCTGGCTGTGAGCTGTAATCGAGAGAGGAAGAGGAAGCTTGCTGATTTAGGCTGTTATGGGCGGCGGTTAGTTACACCAAGCGGGGTAGCCCGGTTTTACAGTAACCGCACAATATCATAGAGCATAAGAAATACAGGCAAGGAGATCACAAATAGGAACATTGAGCATGGACATTGGAGTGCTGAGCGAACATCAATAAGACGAAATGGAAACTTGAGAGTGGACCGTTGTGGTGGCATCATCATATTTGGTCATCAATTCTAGCGTGGTCATTGCTGACCTGCCTCCGCACCTTTCCTTTCCTGGAGCTCTTTTCTGTCCCTTCTCTGTATAGCGACTGTCTTGCTGGTGTATTTTCTCTTGTCTACTGATGGAATGAAGAAAGCCGCGACGACGCCTAGCAATCCAAATGCCAAAGCCACTAAATACGACAAGTGCGCGCCCTCGAGGTAGGCTTCTTGATTGCTCAGTACCGCGGCGGCTTTGACGGACGGTGTGATTCCAGGGATAGCTGCGTAACCCGCTGCGGTATTTGCTCTCGCCGCGGTGACGAGTCGAGCGATAGTGGAAGAGGGGAGATCAAAGGAAGCAAGATTAGTTCGGACGCGCTCTGGTAGAACATGTCCATATTTGTTGTTTGTGACATTGACGAAAATGGCAGTAGCTACCGCGCCAGCGAGAAGACGCGATGTCCCGGCAAGACCAGCTGCAGTACCAATGTCTTCTTGATATACGATACCAAATCCAACGAGAACCATGCCATTGAGAAGGTTGACAGAAGTGCAGGTTGAGATAATGACTGTGAGAAAGATCGATTTGACGGGGCTGTCCATAGAAGAGGTGGACATGGCTCCTACGCAAGCGGTCTGGAGCGCGACTGCAAACATGATAACCCAGCGCTGGTGACCGATCATCTTGCTGAATGCTACAATGATACCGCCGGTTATGGTGCCTAGCGGGAGAACTTCTGCGTATAGACCTTTGGAGACTTCGTCGCTGGCGTAGATGAGCTGCGATAGACGGGGCCAGAGCGTGGCTTGACTGTAGTACTGCATCCCACCAATGGCCATAACTAGCATCGGCACTGTAAAGTGCCGCTTGGCTCTGAACAGACGTGGCGGAAACAGTGGTGCTGTCAATGTGCAGTGGGCCTCATAAAACCCCAGAGCAACCAACGTCAGCAGGCCGATGATGATAGGCGCAAGTACCGTCGCCGAAATCCAAGGAGCCATTGAGCCTCCCCAACTGACGCCTACAATGAAAAGCGTACAGCCTGCGAGGAACAGAAACAAGCCAAGCCAATCAAACTCTCTCAGGAGCTGCCTAGCAGACTTTCCATGCTCGATTCTTTTCTCTTTCCAAGAAGGTGGGTTGTAAAAGAAGAATAAGAGAACTAGGTTGATGGACTGAAAAGCTATCATGACATAATAGCAAATACGCCAATTCCCAGTCTGCTTGATAATGACCCAGCTCACCAAAGGCATAATTTGTGCGATAACGGACGCAGCATCGAACAATCCAATAGTAACATGTCGATACTTGCTGGGCACAATCTCTTGCACCGCTCCAAAAGCCATCTCCAGAAACCCAGAACCGCAGCCAAATAAGGCTCCCCCAGCTATCATCTGATTGATGCTTTGTCCGGTGGCAGAGACGATACTGCCAATTATGAGGATCACTGCACCAGCGATGAAGAAGTATCTCCTGCCAAAGAGGTCCGATAATCGTCCGCCAACCGTGACAAACATTGCGCCTCCAAGATTCCAGGATATCGTTATCCATGTATACCGGGCGTCAGGCCCAAGGTCGGCATTGATGTATGTGAGAATAGCTGGCGGAATGAGGAGCGTGAAGAGGTAGGCGTTGTAGCACATGGCCATTGATACCGCGGCCATGATTGTGCGGACTCATAAATTGTCAGTGCAATGCTTCACTCCGATAGTTTTGTTAAGACACTTACAAGTCATACCAACATCTTCACCTGTATCTTGTAAATGTCTAACGATTTCCTCGTTCGCATCATCATGAAATCGCGCATCTTGATCCGACGTAGTGGCATTGTCGAGGTTTTCGACATGCCTTACAGAAGTCTTGTCATTTTCGAGTGCAGCCATTGCACAAAATAATAAAAAAGAAAGGGCTTCAGATAACATGCAATGCTATACCCGTGGCGAAAGATAAGGATCAACAGGATCCTAAATAGCATATCCCCACAATCTGGTCCCACATACCCGATGGCATCACTCTACCGAAGTACATCTCCCGAAAGTGCATATATCTGCTACATATCACTAATGCACAAACTAGTAGTGTCGAAACGGGGAAGTTCGGTGATGCTCTACCGACATGCAGATGAACATGAATATTGCTGCTTCAGGTGAAGATCGGCATGTAGCGTGGCGCCGATCGTGAAGCGTCATTGGTGTATGGAATCCTGTGATCGGAAAAGCTTAGCCACTATTCAACTTTTGTAGACAAGTATGGCTATCGTTGTCCTTGCTGCACTGTTCTACTTGCGTTCCAGAAGGTCGCAAAGATTCCCTAGTTTGAATACTGTACATCATGTCGTGTGCGACATGGCCATGCGAAGCGGTGCCTACAGACTTCGGGATATGCGTCTGTGTCCTTTAACGTTCCCATCAGATTCTCGAGATCTACTCTTTCTTCTCCGCTGACCTCTCTCCAAGCTCTACGTCTGTATTCTCCCAGTAGTGGCTAAGGTCTCCAACAGGAAGAGAGCATGACCATCGCATCTCCGCCGCCAATATCACGACGAACATGTACCATCCAAGCACGGCTACTACGAATATCAGTGCACCACCAGCCTGAATCTTTTAACATTGATCCACTCGTAGTCAGTCTCACAACATACCTTTTGCAGTTTTAACGCTTTAGAAAACTTCCCGTCACTTAGAGCCCAATATGCGCCACTCAATATCCAGACCCCTATTGTCACAAACCCAAATATTCCCGCAAGAACCACGTTGATCCGGATTGCAAACATAAAAAAGGTACCGAGAGCGAAGCCCCAGACCAGCAGATACAACGCAATGGTCGCGTTCATCGCTTCACTGACGGCGCCTTCTGCAGCATTTCCGGCAGACGAGTAAGATGCTGCGAGGCCGAGTGTCGGGAGTTGGAGCATGCCGAAGGAAAGCCAGAAGACACTGAAGAGACCGCAGACGAGCATGAAAAATGTTTGCGCTTGAATCCAGAGAAAGATGGTGCTGAGGAGTAGGAGAACTGGTCCAGTGAAGAAGAAAATACCGCTGGTGACTTGTCAGTACATGTTTACAAACGTCCAAATTCGATTTACAACCAAAGAGTTCAGGAATGACTTACACGACGGCTTGGAGTCCATTTGCACCACCCCATCCCATCAGTACCATGGAGAAGGTAAAGGTTGAAATCACAAATCTGTCAGAATTCTTAGAATCACGTCAGTAGACTCTTTGATATGGAACATACCCTAAGAAGCCGAGAGGCGCAGCATTCGCAAATCTGGTGGCATTCTGACTTGCACGCGGTGTCTTTGGCGACAAGTACAGTTTCTCAAACTGCTCCGGAGTAAGAGAGATGGTAGTGGTTGCATGCCCGAGGTGCGCTTCTTTTTCGATGCGATCCGAGGCGCTGCTATTGGAATGAGGTACTGACATCGCCCTTACAGTACTCGTTGCCATGTTGACTGCCAATGTTTAGGGGTAATCGTATCCATAAGCTAGATTACCAAGGCCGGGCAGTTAAGTTATACGTGTAGTCCACCTGTCATTGAACGGGTTCCGTGTTTCCGTGCTCCGGACGGTGGAGTTACTCGTCCGCTGCGTCCCATCTCCCCGACAGACAATAGAAAGAGACCCCCGTGCCGGGATTCTGCGGTCTACCATTCCTCCCTGTTATTCGCTGACATCCCCTCTTCTCGTGTGATTGGTTGGATATATAGCGTGTATGACATGTTGCGCCCGGTAAGCCGCCGTTTTGCCAAGAGCTGGCGTAGCGACTTTCATCGACTACGAGCTTACCTCTGGAGTTGGTGGTGGAGGTCGGCCCTTCCCCGCTCGTTCTCTTCATACCTGGTTAGCTGTTCGTTCTCAACAACGAGGTGAGTGGTCAGCTCTTCGTACCGTCCTGTGCCCCATGTCTTGGGTAGAGTTCACATATTTCCGCGATGACCGGGAACGGGCTTGGTAGCAGGGATACGACGGGAGAATCGTCTTGACTTGTTGAAGCCGATTGCTGACTTTGTGAAGTGGTGTTCGGAAGATATGTATACACCGGATAATTTCATGGGTCGTTAATAACCCGATACAAATTGGGAATAGGTGTTGGGTTGAAAGAGAGGGTAGAGTAAGTCAGCGCGTGATGGAAATTGATAATGATCGAGTGTGCCTGTCAGAAGCGTCACTCTAATCTAGAACACGGCATGAATGCTGTATTTATCTTCTCTATGTTGCAGCACGCAATCGGGTGTCTTTTCTGCTACGATCCGACCCGCCAGAGATACTGGCTCCATGTAGATAAGCGATGAACCATGACATCAGAGCCCGGAGTCACTCTGACCCCATACATCCTCACTTCCACCTCTCCACTCGTTCCAGTTCTTGCAGGTCCTGTACCATTCTGAGCTTGGATCAGGGAACTTGATCTGTTGCTCGTGCTCTAAGATTTGAACACTGAAGCCCATGCCTACGTGAGTTGACTATCAAATGTCAGTGAAGGATTCATAAATACGAAGGGCTAGCTTACAATGTGACAGTGCATCAACCAAACACCTGGATTATCCGCGGGGTAAGCTATCGCGAGCCACCCGCTTGCTGGAAGTATTGCAACATCTCGACGGGTCGGATTCATGAATTTCAACTGGCCAAAATCACGCTCAGGGTCGAATTGACCCTTACCTTTGCCTAGCAGAAAAAAGTCGTGGCCATGGGGATGAATGGGATGGTCAATAGGGATGGCATGAGGATCCTGCTGAATGATCCAGTAAACCATCTTGGAGGGCAATGGCACTCTAACAACATTGTATGACTTAGGAATATTGATTCCCTTAGCGATATAATCGAAAGTTGGATGCCCATGATCAACCGCCATAGAGGTACCGTTGATGGTCCAAAGCAAAGTGTTGTGATTCGCCTTGACTGGACCAAACATTACAGGGAGATCCTTCGCCTGGGACTGAAAGGTACGGCTTTCGACATCAATGGGGACTTTGGGAGTGGTAATCGGATCGCCACATTCTGTGAAAGGAATGCTTTCAGCAGTCGAGGTGGGGTCGGCGACAGGCTGGCCTTGGTAGTTGAAGATGGCACGCCCTTCACGTGCGCTACTAGAGCTACAGAGCGAGTTGGCCTGAGCCCGGAACCAGTAATTGCTGGCGAGCTGATCCGCAGTAATGACTACATCGTAGCGCTGACCAATAGCTATTTGTAGGTGAGTGGTCCGATAAGGCTCGATGGCCACAAAGTCGTTTGCGATGACAAGAAACGGATGTCCGTCTAAGCTGACGATCATGTTCGCGTCTGACGCGGTATTGACCAGTCGAAGACGATATTTCTTGCCCTTTTCTATCGTGACCCTGTTCCAGGCGCCGCCGCCCTGAGCATTCTTAGCCGTACCATTGACCAAGATGTTGTCCGCGAAGGGAGGCAGCAAATTCTTCTGTCCATTCTGCATAGCTATCGCGGATGTTTGGAATGCTGTCGTGTAAAACCAATCTGAGATTGGCATCACTCCAAGGTCCACATCATAGTCGGCCGTGGCTGGTCCGTTAATCTGAATGGTTCCAACAAGGCCGTCTGCCATTTGTGCTCCAAAATGAGAGTGGAACCAAGTCGTTCCGTACTCAGTACATGTAAACTCATAGGTCTTCGAGTCGCCTGGAGCCAAAGCACATTCGGTAATGCCATTAACACCATCATTGAGGTTGTTGTTCAACATGCGGAGACCGTGCCAGTGGATTGATGTGCCATTTGACTGAAGCTCGTTATGAACGGTAACTCTGATAGTATCCCCCCAGTTGGCAACAATCGTTGGAGGTCTAATTTGCCCATTGATTAAAATGCAGACTCTAGGGTTTGAGCCATCGGGGCTACAAGTGGTGTTTTGGATGTGGAAGTCGTAGTTGCGAATAACTCCCGTCTTGGGCCACGAAGTGGTCGTATCGGTCTCGGCCGTAAACCCAGGTGTCCAGCATTGCCTAGTACCAGGAGTGTTCCCATGCTTTGCACAAAATGCTGATAATTTACTTGTGCCACGGCTGTCTAGTCTTGGTATCAACTCGGTGTTTTCAGCTGGAAGTGCTGCTGCATTGGCAAATAAGCTGGCGAGCCCGAAAAGGACGACGCCAAAAACGAGTGTAGATTTCATCCCAGCCGGTCGCGAAGATAGGGACGAGTGTCGTTTTATGCGATTCAATTAAACATTAAAAAGGACTTGAAGTGGTGATTTCCAGAGGGATCATTAGCGAGTGGACGCGAAACCTCTGCTCTGCAACGATGAAGCAATATTGGATCGTCGTCTTATAATAGCTCTCGTGGAATCTAATTTCTCTTTTCGATGTCTACAGCCAGTAAACAATCGGTGGATCCATCTGATTCCAGGGTGGATGCATGTCACGACACTACCAGGCGCGGTACGAGCCAAAGTTTGTCGCTTGTTCTCGAATGAGGATCATCTAATGATGATATACGAGTAAGGTTGATGGCGCTTTGACGCTCGGAGGTCGTATTCTCGAAGATGTGCCGCATGGAAGCTGTGACGGGCTCGCCATGATGAGTATGGCTACCCAATACACACCGATACAGACGTTGACCGCGTGACTTCGAAATCAAAGCCATACTAATGTGTCTCTCATGACTATTTATGACCTACCTGGGAAGCCAGAGTCGATGTGTGATGGAACGAGACAGAAAGGTGTGCTTGGCTAGACAACGCCAGGAACGAGGGGGCATGCTCGCTCATGCTAGTAATACGGAGTCTGGGCATACTTACTCACTCGTCAAGTCTACCAGACGCGAAATTCATTTTCCAGGCTACCGGTATGCTTAAAGCCAGAAGTATCTATAATCGACCGCGACGTAGTCGTTGGGATAAGCATCGCTAACCGATGAGCAGATGTGCACTGCGGAAACACAGTTACATCTCTTCTCAGACGTGCCTGCATAACTCTACGGAAGTCATCTCGTCATCGTATTGATAGACGCGGCGGACTCGGTCGGAAAACCATGGAACGAGGCGGATGTCTCCCTGCTGCTGGAGTCGGGATCGTAGGTAAGCAGTCGATCGAGCTAGTTACCTAGGGGTCCCGGCATCAGTCATCGACCTCTGCCAGCGGTCAGCGCACAGTATGATCACGAATAAATGCAATAACAGGCACAATAGAAGCTTAGATTAGAGCTGCCGGTCCGACACTTCTCCTCTCCCGATGGACTTGTGGTGGGTGAGAAGTCTTTTGCAGCGGCGTTCGTCCTAGCGCGCTTCGCTGCGGGACCATCGTCATGACCTCCGTGGATCAGCACGACGACGGCGCTCACCTTGACGGCAATTTCCATCATTTGCTCCAGCGGAGATCGACTCCAAGGATTCACACTCCCTTCCCCATCCTCCTTTGCGCGATGCAGCGTTTTTCTATTGACAGAGCTTGACAGGGACAAGCCTTATCGCACAAGTACACCACCAATGTCGGACGTTCGTGATTTCCATAGCATATCACGACATGCTATTTGCTCCTCATCATGCGCTCGAGTAGAAGCTACTACTCTGGGATCGCCGTCAATGTCCGTAGCACCGCATGAGCGGGGGAGCCTTATCAAAGGCCCACATGTCGGCTTCTTTTGCTCAAAGCACGCTACTTGCTAAGTACCAATATATACCAATGGCCTCGCTATATCGAGTGTTTTAAGTCTCTGCATCCCTCTGCACAATTGATACTGTACAATGTTCGCCCGGGGCGCATTGACGTATGCGCTGGCAATCCTGTCTTTGTCGACCGTAGTTGAGCCGACTTCCCGACCAGATGTCAAAAATCTAATTGTAGACACCGACCTTTTCGATGCGATTGAGTATGTATACATTAACTACTCTGCGGTAACGAAGCTGACTCAGATTAGTGATACAGCGGCGCTGCTTCTTGCATGCACGCTCCCAAACGCAAATCTTCTAGCCGTAAACGTCAACGTCAATTCAACATATACCGCGCTCGCTGCATCTGCTATCGTGAACCATTATGGTTATAGCACCGTTCCGATTGGGTTACCGCGGCCGTTCACCAACAAAACCTCCTCTGAGCCATTTGGAGGCGAATATGACACCAAGGTAGCGGCAGGGTGGTCGGGCGGTTCGGTGCCTTGGGGACATATAAATAACACATGGGACCCAGTAGAGCTATATCGCAAGACGTTAGCCGAAGCGCAGAACAACAGCGTAACCATTGTATCCATCGGATTCATGGGGTCCATTTCTGGTCTTCTCAATACGACTGCAGACAAGTATTCAGCCTTGGACGGATACGGTCTTGTGAAAGCAAAGGTCAAGGAGCTAGTGGTCATGGGTGGCGGGTATCTACCGGAGTACTCTCTTGACCAGGAGTACAATTTTGCGCAACAGGATGCACCGCACGTCGTGAACACCTGGCCCGAGTGTGTTCCTATGACATTTCTCGGTGCAGAAGTCGGCGTGGAAGTCTTTACTGGTGCTCGTCTCACCGCGTGCGGTCCACCCGATGATCCAGTCAGAGCGAGTTTTGAATGGTGGGGGGGATACAATGTCTCACAATACTCGTGGGATCATCTTACTATGGTGTACGCCGTCAGAGGGCTGGGCAACTGGTACGAATTTGGCAACAAGAACGGATATAACTATCTCTATCCCAACGGGACCAATATCTGGGTGGAAGACAAACGCAGGACCAATCAGCACTATCTGCAGCTGAAGATCTCGAATGTGACAGTAGCGAAAGAGATGGATAATCTATTACTGCGGGGCGCTTGGACCCATGCCAAACTGGATTGAAGCCTTTCACTAAAAGAGGAGGGGTTTCCAAACTCGAACCCCCCTGTCGTGAATACCGACGCATGCATTGGAGGGTCGGTGTCTGGGCTTTTTCAGGGCCAGTGTGGTCGCTCGGAGTATATTCCTAGACAACGCAATCAACGCTTACATGATCACGCTCAACCATGGAATAACGTTTTTGCCCCTTACTGACACGAAGTCTCGCCGTGGTGAATTTTACTACACCGACTGAGGGGGATGCTGACAACTGCGTCTAGACTGAGGTGTTGATGTTGATGTTGATTATGGTTTAACGCCCTATCTGTAACCTCCCATAGGGTATTCGGGCGGGTCCCGCCGTGGTCTTATAGTGCTGTCGCACTTGCCTCGTGGAACCTATTCCTAGGTGTTTTGTATCTAAGGGGAGTGATGTCCTGCCTATATACATGTTCGTGAAAAGGACTCCCGCCATTTGAAGCCGTTTTCCTACAATATTCTAGTATTTCGTGGCTTGCGCCTTTGATCGATGCAGTACAATGACTGCTTTTTAGAGAGAGAAACGAAAAAGTAACAAGAGGCAGTTTGAGATATAATGAAAAGTTTGAAAGAGAGCGTGTGGGTTGTGGCATCTATGCGGCGTTCTGCCGCGAATCCTACACTGAATAATGCCAAGGAATTCAGCGGGTCTTTGTGAAATTCAAAAATAGAAATCACTCGTTATAGAAGGAGTTCGTTACCTTAACGAAGGTCTCGAACTCTTGTGGCTGGTCTATTAATTGCGCGAGGTACGCTAGGCCTTCCTGTCTTGTGCGAGGGGGCACGATGGGGCGTAGAGGCCACTTCTTGAAGTGTGTTGTGGCTCTCTTGCAGAACACTAGGTGTTCTGGCGTCTTGGGCCTGCCGCATAGGCATTTCGAGGTATCCTCGTGGTTGAATTTTCGGTGGTACCATTCAAAGTCGCCATGCGTTGAGCGTATCATAAGGACTTTCGCGAGTATCCTTCGGGGTAGCCATAGCGCTGCGGGCGTGCGCCTAGTATCGTATGGCAGCTGCCATTGCGTGTACCATGCTGATAGCCTACTGCTCTTATCCTGCCACCAAGTGTCCCTTGTATGTTCGAGGAGGCGGCGGCCTACTGTTCGTATACCGGATCTTGTGGGGGAGGCGGCCATGCCGTATGGCTGGTGCGGGTCTTTGGCCTCGCTGTCAGCCAGCTGGTCGGCGAGCTCGTTTCCAACAATCTTCATGTGTCCCGGCGCCCACCGCGTTTTCACGTTGTAGGCCTCCATAGCTCCATGGATTTGGAGGAACGCCCATTGGGAGGAGGTAGGGGCGGTTCCGCGTATGCCCCATATTACCGAAGTGCTGTCTATGCAAAGTACGATCTCCCTCTGGCTAGGCAGTGAGAGTTGTAGTGCGTGTTTGAGTCCTCTGCACGCGCCTATAGCCTCCGCATCGAAGACGTGGCTAAGGGCATTTAGTGAGCCTTGTCCAGTCGCCACGGCGGCCTGGCCCTGGTATATAGCGTACCCGTAAGTGACCACCCTTGTACCGTTGATTTGTTGTTCAGACCCGTCTGAGAAGACAGTGATTGTCTCTTGTCCAAGAGACTCCCACCAGATGGTGAAATTCTGGGCAGCAATGTCCTTTCCTTGCCCTTGCGTTGGATCCTGCCTCGACCCGTCTGAAAAGTGAGGGCTGGCTAGGACGTTTCGGGGTGTGGCGGGTAGCAGTTGTGCTACGCGCTGAACCTTCGATCTTGGTATCCGTCGGTTGCCCGCTGCGCGTCCTCGTATGACTAGTGGCAGTGTAGTTCTATTAGTAAGTGGGTGCTTGTCGTCTATTGTGCGTAGGTGAACTGCAATCTAGACTGAGGTGTGACGACACACGTGGCTGCACAAGCTACCAACTCACCGGTATTTTCCGCGCGAATTGCACACAATTAGCTGCCCTCTTGCTTGTGAAATCATGGCTATTGATTCTGCGTTGAAGTCCATCCGCCAGTTGATACTGGGATCAAGAGCGGATCTCGATGCCGAACGTTGAAAGGCGGATGCCATTTGCGGCAAGGATGCTCATTGCCAAGTAGTGTTTCCGCTTGACGCCAAGATCTTCCAGCATTGTCGTCGACCATCACAACACCGGTCCTTGGAGAATTTACCGGAGTATACACGATTGGTTGGGATTTGATTATGTGATTAGGCAGGCAACAAACTGAATACATACGCCTTCTTGGCTGTCACCAAGCCACTGCCGCACTCCGCTGCCAAGTGCACACCCAGCTTCCGCCGAGAAGCCAAAACCCGCAATGACATAGTCCCAGAAACAACTGCTCCACGAAATCGAAACAACATGTCTTGGTAAGGGTGCCTCATAGCCTGATACCGATGTATGGTTACATGCGCCAACATGTTGGATGGTTGCATGGTGATAGTGCGGAGTAGCTATGGGGAATCCTGCTCTGGTGCAGTACTGGCCCACTGTTTCGTGGAGGGAAAGGTGGGCGTGAACTGTGCCCCATGATCCATTTATTTAACAGGAGCTGTCATGGCTCGCTGGCGTTGCGTGGTCTTCCTTTTATCCCATCCACTTTGCCATCTGCAATCTTCCTCTGGGCTGGGTCTTCCCCATACACAAGACATTCAACCCAGTCGTCACAATGTCTCGCCGCAAGCCAGACATAGAGGCCACAGAGCCTGCATCTTCTTCAATCAGCAGTAAATCCGATTTCGGCACTGCGCAACACCATGAACGCAGGGGTAGTCATCCTCGGCAAGCCTCCGTCGCTGCAAAGCTCCGTAATCCTTTGGCCGGCCTGAGTGAAGAACAAGTCATTGCCGACGTCGACGCTTGGTGTGTAGAAAAGGGTCTACAAGAGCACCAGGACGCCTTTCGGAAAGGTGCACTGATTGCCCGTGTGGGCCAGCGCGACGACGGCTTCGAATATGTCAGTCAACTATCCACGGAAGAGAAGGATCTGCTCAGGTATGAAGTCAACCATCGATGGTCACAGCCCTTCATGTTGTACTTTTTGGTCGTTCTCTGCGCTGGCTCTGCCATTGTGCAAGGCATGGACCAGACGGCAGTAAACGGTGCTCAGGTCAGTTGATCCCTACCCTTACCCAGACCAAGGCTGTCTGAAAACTAACATCTTCAGGAATTCTATTTCCAAGAATTCAACATTGGAGAAGACCAGGTATGGCTTCGCGGCCTACTCAATGGCGCACCATACCTCTGTTCCTGTCTGATCGGTTGCTGGTCGAATGCACCACTCAACAAGTACTTTGGTCGTCGAGGCACCATCTTCATTTCGTGCATCATCTCATTCATTACTGGAATATGGATGGCAGCCGCGGATAGCTGTAAGTGACATCACTACAAGTTGTATTGGGGTCACAAACTGACGCTTTGACTAGGGCCAAACCTCCTCGTTGCTCGATTCATGCTTGGCTTTGCGGTCGGTGCAAAGTCGTCGACGACACCCGTCTACGCGGCGGAATCTGCACCGAAGACTATTCGTGGAGCCCTGACAATGATGTGGCAGATGTGGACGGCATTTGGCATCATGCTTGGTTTTATCGTGTCAGTCGCTTTTCAGAATGTCACCATTATTGGAGGGCAGTACTCGCCGTGGAGATGGATGTTGGCCAGTACCAGTATCCCTCCGATGGTTGTTTGTGTCCAAGTCTATTTCTGCCCGGAATCGCCCCGCTGTGAGTAAACATTATATGCTGTGACTCTGTTTATACTAATGCCATGTCAGGGTACATGGAGAAAGGCAAGTTCGACAAAGCCTTCAAAGCTCTTTGCAGACTTCGCAGGCACAAGATGCAAGCTGCACGCGACATGTACTATGCATATAAGCTCCTCGAAATCGAGGCCGCAGAGCGCGAAGGCCGCAACGCTTGGAAGGAATTCTTTACTGTCCGACGTAACCGCCGCGCTGCACAAAGCGCATTCTTTGTGATGTTTATGCAACAGTTCTGTGGGGTCAATGTGATCGCCTACTACAGTACGGCCATTTTCCGAGAAGCTGGCTTCACGCGGTCTGAAGCGTTGCTCACATCCATGGGTACTGGTATTACAAACTTCCTCTTCGCGATCCCCGCCATCTACACGATTGACACCTTCGGCCGTCGTAACCTACTACTTACTACTTTCCCGCTCATGGGCCTTTGTTTGCTTTGGTGTGGGTTGTCCTTTTACCTGCCGATGGACCCAGAGACAAATCGACCAAGTCAGGAACGTCTTGCATCGATTGCCGCAGCTATATACACCTGTAAGTCAGGACATGTTCTGTTGCCAACAATGCACAGCGTGGTAATAACGCTGCTAACCAAAACATCACAGTCATGGCCGTATACTCGCCTGGCGAGGGCCCAGTGCCTTTTACGTACTCCGCCGAAGCATTCCCCCTGCATCTCCGCGACGTGGGTATGTCTTTCGCGACCGCGACTTGCTGGGGCTTCAACTTCATCCTTTCACTCACCTGGCCTGCCCTTAGTGCTGCGTTCACCCCCACTGGTGCTTTCTGCTGGTACGCTGGGTGGAACTTCTTTGGATTCGTCTATGCATACTTTTTCCTGCCCGAAACCAAGGCCCTCACACTAGAAGAACTGGATACTGTGTTTGACGTCGGAAACCGTCAGTTCTCGGCCTACTACAGGAAGAAGTTGCCATGGTATATGCGAAAGCACATTTTACGCCAGAATGTGGAGCCTATGGAGCCGCTTTTCGAACTCCATGAGAAGAGTACAGGTAGGGACTATGCGAAAGAGCCTTTCGGTGGTGGAGGCGAAGCAGGCGCAGTGGGGGGTACCGAGATCGTTGAGAAGAGTGAGGTTAATAAGATGTGAGAGTTCTCCTGGCGTAAGGCAGGCATCGTACATAGAGAGCTAGACTAGTCAAATAAGCTCTCAAGTTAGGAGTAGAGAGAACAGTAGAGAAGTTCTGTGAGAAAAAGACGAAGTTTAACTTCTATAAGAGAGACTAGGCTAGGTAAGGCGTTAAGCCCAGAGAAGACTGGACCGAATGAAAGGAAGAGTGTCCTTACACTCAGCGCGTGGTTGTAAGAGGTAGCAAGTTTTGCAATGAGTGCCGGCGCTTGTACATGATCTGCCACCCATTAATTTGGAAGAGGTATATGTCTTCTTGTCTGCATGCATGTGTTCCTCTTATTCCCGGCTCTCCAAGTGATGAGTGAATGGTAGTCTGACCGGAAGAATGCAATAGGAATTGCGATGTTCAGTACTCAGAACTAACATAGCTATTAAGTACCCATTTTGACTTGATGGCTTAACACGTACCTCTTGTTATCCGAAAGTACACATAATACCCTAAATGGCAACGTTATAAGGATATAGTTACTCTAATGGCTTATATTGAACTTGTGGTAACTGCCTACACAACTTCGATCATACCGCCACGTTAATACCATCTTAAGCATAGAAATTACATTGAGCACATGTCCGCTACAAACATCGTTAAATATACTCTCCCAGCGGCTCAGATAGTGCGCTCAGAATTCACATCGACCTCCATCGTCCAGCAATCTTATTACGATATGCTCACCCGTCTCCCTCGACGACTCTACCCATCACCAACATTCATTATGGCGACCCAATCAACCCTTTCCACCTCAATCCCCGATATTCCCCCAATATGTGATGTCCAGCTCCCTCACACACTAACAAACTTCGCCGGCCTCCTTGCTCTCGGACCTACGATCACAGAGCGCAAGATCCCCCGTTACTGTTGTCACACGTGGAAGCCAGAAGTCTTCTCCGTCAATGAAACTGCGTACTTGCAGAAAAACATGTACGATGTCCATGAGTGTTCGAATAGAGATCCGAGTTTTGTGTGCGCTGCGTTACTGAGGGAAGAGAGCAAGGTTAGTGGCGCATTTGGGTGTTTGAAAGGGATAAAGGGCAGTGCGGATGTGAGCATGAAGGTGCCTGGGCAGGAATAGTTTTTGCGGTTATATTAGGGTTGGGAGGAGTTTTGGGGGCGGTTTGGATGTGAAGGCGGGGTGCTTGTTGATTTGGATTGGTGGATGGAGAGTACGCTATGTGCTTCTACGAATCAAGTGCGGGAAGCACAGAGATCGAGTTGGTCTGATTTCAGGATTGACGCCAACAACGACTCTGCGTGTGCGGATGAGGGAATATGTATACATGCAGACGATAACATTGATATAACCCTGTCCTGTCTCAGTGCTCACCATGTCTGCGACCTCGATGTCTTTCACGATCATGACCACGATCGCGCTCCCTACTCCTACTACGGTGATTTCGTTTTTCACTGCGATGCGAGAATATATGCGCATGTCTGTCCCTGCTGCGACTGGGACTCCGACTCCTACGGACGTGTCTGGACCGAGGGCGTTCAGCATGGCGAGCGCGGTCTTCGGTATCGTCCCGGTCACGTCTCTTTCTCTTATGATGCCTGCTCTGCCTCTCTTCCTGCTCTTGCGCAGCTCGTAACTCCCTTAGCTCGCGGTCGCGCTCCTCAGCCCACCGCTTCTTATCTTGTTTGGACCTTTTCAGTTGAGCTTGGGCCTTTTGCATAAAGGCAAATGGGTCGCTGGAAGATATGCGAGCCTGTTCTCTTTCTTTGCGCCGAGGATCCTCATTTCCCCAAACGTCTTTATTTACGAAGCCTTCATATACCGTCAGGTCCTGGTCTTGAGTAGCTTCCTGCGATGGCTTTTGTTCGGCCGTGTACCATGGCTGATCTAGCCCCGCCTTTCCTGCTGCGTTTGAGAAGCGCATGCTGTATTGGTCCTCGAGAGCCTTTTCCTTCTTCCGCTTCTCTGCCTCGGCCTCAGCATTCCGTTCGCGCTTGATGGCCTCTTTCATATCCACCGGAAAGAGATTGATGTTGCCGGCATAGTCTTGGAGAGGGGCGTCGCTAGCGGTGTTCCGGAGTTTGAAGATGTTGTTGTTCTTGGTGTCCTTGTCGTCCTCGTCCCTGGGCGCCGTGAGGGTTCTGGCCAGCCGTATGTCCATGTCTGTATCATCCTCACCGGCGAGCTTCCTTCTCTTCTTTTCGCGACCACCCTCATGTTTTTCCTTCACCCGCCCCGATCCATCCTCGTGTTTCGGTACTTTTTCTGGCAAGGGCGGCGGTGTTCGGCCTCGGAGAATAGCAGCACGTCGCTCGGCGTCGAGCTCTTGCAAACGCTGCTCATCGGCCTGTTCGCGGGCAGCGGCGGCGGCCTCGTCGGCTTTGACGCGCGCAATGTTGTCGGCATTGTAGACGTTCCATGACTGAGACGGTCAGTGTGAGGTTTGTAGGTGGTAAAGTTGTAATATCATGTACCTTTTTGCCTAGTAAATGCCTGTATATTGGTTAAAGGTTCCGGCATCGAAAGTGGCAGAGGAACACATACAGAGGCATGGTGGCGCTGATGAAGTTTACCAGCTACATGGCCAGCTTCACGAGGACGTTCAGTTGATGATGCCTGCTGCCCGGCTAACATTCACCCTTGCATTGTGGAGCCGGTCCAAGCGCCAACCATGGTCCAGGTCTACCGGTATCCGTCTTTCCAGCTGCAGCCGTCGCTGTCCCCGCAACGCTCCGGGCAAGGCACATCGCACACTGCACACCAACCTGCAGCGGCTAGTCGAAGCTTACTACTTGAATCATGGCGTGTATCACACCTGATTCAATACAACATCCGCCCGTTGTGCCTCATAGCAGTTGCCTCTTTTAGCAGCTGTGTGCAAAAGGAAGCTTCCCAACCACCGGCCGAGCCTCGTCTAGACCGCCGCATAGACTTCATCACTTTCACTTTCACTTTTACACCCCGGTCTACGTGTATGACAATGTACGACTTGCAAGCAAAAGTTTGCTGAAGGCACGCTACCTTATAAATGTTGGCCTCGCTTTAAAGAAACACCGTCGCATTTTCCAGCTCATCGTCCGGTCTACCAGCGAGCGACATCCCGATATGCCTACCTGGCTTGTTCACGGCTTTCGGTGGCCTCGCGCACAGATCCGCATTCATGTCATCCTCCAAAACCTCGACGATGCAGCACCCGAATGGCTCATGGCTCCTGCCACAACGGCCTGTATGACGGAAAACTTCAAGAAACAATGGCCCGAACAAATGGCTCAGTTGCCTGATCTGCGCTTCATTGAGCAATACGACCCCGACGACCTTACTGCCAAAGACCAACCCTATGCATACGTATGCGACATCGTGCAGGAGATTAAGCTTGGAATAGAAGTAGACGAAGTAAGAGGAGCAGGTCTAGGGGAGGAACAGTGGGCAGCCATTGCTGAATTGAGGGACAAAGTGGCACCGGGCGAGAAATTGGGCTGGTTCGTCGTAGTGAATGGTGACGTCGAAAGGTGGGCTCCAGCACTCGAGGACGATGACACAACACCGGATGCCAGTCAGTTTGGCAATGCAAGTCAGAGGAGTAGTGTGGGACAGGCTACTTCTGTACAAATACAGGAACCAGAACGACCGTCTACGAGTAGAAGTTTGAAGAAGTGGTTTGGTGGATTGAGGAAATCGAAAAGGTAAGTTTGAAGAGCTTCATCATTTTAACTTTTACTGAGATATTATAGCGGCAAGGATTTAAGAGGCGACGCCGCAATAAACACAGATCCAGTCCCGCCGCTACCTCCGATATCTCCTCGTCATGGCTTACAGTCTCCGAGCTCTTCAAATGGGTTCGCCCCGAATCAGGGCAAGAACGCGTCCTGAAGGCGGGGATGCTATAAGCAAACGCACACGACAGCGTATCGCACATGTAAGAACAAACATAAAAATCAAGTGTTTACAAGCGTGCGTGATAGAAAGGTTTTGTAATTCTTAGATACATGCAATATACCCATGTCAAGTTACTGCAGCGATATCTTACCTCATGTAGTGAAAGGATGTTGGTTCTCAGTAGGCTGGTGAACAAATGCAAATCAGCCCAGTCCCATGTACTGACAATGCCACCTCAGTATGCCCCATACCAGAGGGTGTTCGTACACGGGGAAGTTCCATGTGAGCGCCTGTCGCAAACTCACCTTTCGAGTTTAGCGCCAGCCGAGCTCGAGTAACACGTGACGCGTGATGACGCGCGATTGCCTAAGCTCAAATTATTAGAACATCGCGACTGCTTCCGCATGCCAACTCATACACAACCCGGACATTCATGCAATTTCCGTAGCCCCAGAGTGGACTACTCTAAGCTCAAATCTGCATCTATCGACGGAACCTTCCTCCAGGTTTTTCCCTGCACGACTTTTGTGATTCCTCGCGCGACCTGCGCATCGGTACAAACCAGGGCTTCCATCTTCGCGCATAGTCGCCTCGACCCGCGAGAAAGCCGCCAACATGAGTCGACGTGACTTCTTGTCCATGCCCGCGCCCGAAAACTATGTGGCTGGTTTGGGCAGAGGAGCTACGGGCTTCACGACCCGGAGTGACTTGGGTCCTGCTCGTGAGGGGCCGTCAGAGGAGCAAATGAAGGAGATGCTGGCAAAGCGTGCGGCATCCTTGGGTCAAGCAGCGCCTTCTGCGTATGGAGTCACAGAAAAGAAGGAGGAGGAGAGAGACGAGGAAGAAGACCGATTCCAGGATCCTGACAATGAGGTCGGCCTATTCTCAAGTGGTATGAACTACGACAAGGAGGACGATGAGGCAGACCGCATCTACCAGGAAGTAGACGAGAAAATGGACAAACGCCGCCGAGCCAGAAGGTTAGTTCCCCTCATTTCTTTACCCTTCCTCCCCTTCCCTCTATCCGTGCTTTCAGAGTATTCATCGTGTTTTTTTCACGAACAGATACCAATTGTGTCCGCCGTAGGGAAGCTCGAGAGCAACAAGAACGTGACGAATACGAACGTAACAACCCGAAAATCCAGCTTCAGTTCGCCGATTTAAAACGAGCCCTCGGTGGCGTTTCGGAGGAGGAGTGGGCAGCGCTGCCAGAAGTTGGAGACATGACAGGAAAAGCAAAGCGTGCACGTGAAGCTCGTATGGCCAACTCGCGGTCATATGCTGTTCCGGATAGTGTATTGGCCGCCGCATCGAAAAGCGGTGAACTTGATACCTCGATATCTTCCGACGCTGATGGCATGACTACCAACCTTGCGAGTATCGGTGCTGCTCAGCTGTCTGCGCTGACTGTACGACTCGACTCGGCGGCGAGTGCGCCTGGCTCGCAAACCACGACGACTTCAGGGACAACAACATCTGTAGACCCCAAAGGATACATGACTGCTCTGAGCAGGAAGGAGGCAATGGGTGGTGAAGTGCCAGTAGAAGATATTAACAGAGCCCGCGTTCTGCTAGAGTCGGCCGTCAAGACCAACATACACAATGGTCCTGGTTACGTTGCGCTGGCACGCCTCGAAGAGGTGGCTGGAAAGATTCATACTGCTAAAAAGGTTATTGCTCGGGGATGCGAATTGTGCCCGAAATCCATCGTCGTTTGGGAGGAGGCTATCCGGTTGAATCGCGACAATCTGCACAACGCGAAAATCATCGCAGCGAACGGCATCAAACAGAACCCTAAGGCTGTGAAGCTGTGGGAAGCTGCAATTGACCTGGAACAGACACAGGCAGCCAGAAAAAAGGTTACCCGTCAGGCTTTGGATCATAATCCTCAGAGTGTGGAGCTGTGGAAGACACTCATCAACGACACAGAAGAGTTGGATGCCGTTCGCCTCCTATTCGCCAAAGCAACAGAGACCATACCACTCGCTGAAGAGTTATGGGTTTCTTACGCGCGTGTTTCAGAACCGGAAGCTGCACAACAGATTCTTAACAAAGCGCGCAAGGCCATCCCAACCAGTTGGGCCATTTGGATTCACGCCTGCAGACTCCAAGAAGAGCTTGGCAAGGTGGATATGTTGGACATGATTATGAGCCGAGCTGTCAAATCCCTTATCAAAGAGAACGCCATGATCAAGCGGGAAGAGTGGATTGCACAGGCGGAGATTTGTGAGGAGCAAGGGGACAAGGGAACAGCAGCTGCCATAATCAAGGCAACTGTTGGCTGGGGTCTCGACGAGGACGACGATCGCAGGGATGTGTGGCTAGAAGACGCTAGGAGTGTTTTGAACAGGAACAAGCCAGAGACAGCTAGAGCGATCCTGGGTTTCGCTGTCGCCGTCTTCCCGTACAGCACCACAGTTTGGCACGCGTCTACGGATCTTGAAAAGCACCATGGCACGACGGACACACTGCTGAATGTTCTGGAACGCGCGGTAAACGCTTGCCCGAACTCGGAGTCTCTGTGGTTGCTGTACGCTCGAGAGATGTGGCAGTCAGGAAACCCTGAGGGTGCTCGCAAGGTTTTGGGCCGAAGTTTCGAGGCTCTACCAGGTAACGAAATGCTGTACACTCGCGCCGTCGACTTCGAAGTAGACGCTGGTAATTTCGATGAGGCTCGACAGTTCCTCAAAGTGGCCCGTGAATCAGCTGCTACTGACCGAATCTTCATGAAGTCTGCGGTGCTCGAGCGACAGCTAGAGAATTACGAGACTGCGATCGACATTTGCAATCAGGGACTGCAAAACTGGCCGGGTAGCTGGAAGTTGCATGCTGTCAAGGGACAGGTGTATGAGCAGTTATCGAAGCTGCCTGAAGCTCACGAGGCCTTCAGTATCGGTACACGTGCGGTACCAAAAGCGCCAGTTCTGTACATCCTCCTCTCCCGTCTACAAGTCAAGCAGGGCGCGGTTGTTAAAGCGAGATCAACGCTAGATCGTGGCCGACAGCAGAACCCAACGAGCGAGGATATACTTCTTGAGCAGGTCCGACTGGAGCGTCGCCAAAACAACATGAATGCTGCTCAGCAACTCATGGCTGGTGCTCTGCAAAAGTGCCCCAACTCAGGTAAACTGTGGGCGGAGAAGATCATGCACCTTGAAAATCGTACGCAGCGGAAGCCGCGTGCACTTGAAGCCATCAAGAAGGTCGAGAAGGATGCACAACTATTCGTTGTTGTTGCACGTATCTTCTGGTCTGAGCGACGACTTGACAAGGCGGCAACGTGGTTCGTCAAGGCAGTCACTCTCGACAGCGACTATGGCGACGCGTGGGTATGGTACTACAAGTTTTTGGAGCAGCACGGCACCGAAGAAAAGAAGCAGGACACATTGTCCAAGGTTGCGTTGGCTGAGCCCAAGCATGGAGAAATATGGCAGTCGGTGGCTAAAGACCCGAAGAATGCACGTCTGGGCGTTGAGGAGGTTCTCAAGCTTGCGGCGCAGAACGCAGAGTAGATTGGTGCGAGGGCCTTTGTGTTGCGAGTTAAGCAGAGATTGTAGATGGCCGGACAGGATTGCATATGGCTGGGCAGTAGGAGGTATATTAGTATACCCTTCATCTTCACTTCTACCCCGTTGATTTCATGTTCAACGTGAATAACGTAGTTGAATCCACACGAGTATAAAACTCGCTTCCGTCTCTGACACGATCTACTTTTTCTCGACCATAACCTCGTCCTCACCTTCCTTCTCGACAAACATTGTTTCTTGCGCACTCCAAAGCTCACTATACAAGCCATCACGATCAATAAGATTCTGATGGGTTCCGCTCTCAGCCACAGTACCCTCACGCAACACAATGATAATATCAGAGTCATAAATGGTACGGAGTCGATGCGCAACGAAGACGGAGGTGCGTTTCTTCTCCTTGACAAGGGAGTTGATGTGCGAGAGTAGCGCCTGCTCTGTATGCGTATCCAAAGCCGAAGTCTAGAAAATCTAAAGTCAGCGCAACTGCAATAGGAAAAAGAAGATGAACCCGGCGGAGAAGACCTACCGCTTCATCAAAGAATAAAAACGGTGGGTCCTTCAATATCAACCTCGCAACTGCCAACCTCTGCTTCTCACCACCTGAAATCATCATGCCCCGCTCACCAACCATGGTGTCGTAGCCATCGGGAAAGCGTGCAATACTCTCATCGATCCTCGCGCGCCTTGCCGCTTCAATCACTTGGTCTTGTGTAGCATCTAAGTTACCGTAATGGATGTTGTGCTGAATCGTGTTATTGAACAATGGTGTATCCTGAGGAACGACACCAATAGCCCTGCGCAAGCTATCAAGCTGCACATTGCGAATATCCTGGCCGTCGATCAAAATGCGACCTTCCTGCGCATCATAGTATCTGAACAATAGGCGAAGGATGGTAGATTTGCCACAGCCGCTAGGACCAACAATTGCAACTTTTTTGCCAGCAGGGATAGTGAGATTTAGGTTCTTGAGAATGGGGCGGTCGGGGCGGTATCCAAAGGTTACGTTTTCGAACTTGATTTCTCCTGTCTTGAGGGCCAGGGGTGGCGCATTTGGTTTATCCTTTACGGCAACGTTTACTTTTTGGAGGTTGAAGAGGGTTTCCATGTCGAGGAGGGACTGGCGCAATTCGCGGTACATGGAGCCGAGGAAGTTGAGGGGCACGCTCAGTTGGAAGACGAGTTGATTGACCATGACGAGGTCGCCGACGGTGAGGTTACCGGTTGCGACGCCGTTGGCGGCCAAGTACATCATGGCGGTTAGCGCGGAGGAGAAGATGATGTTTTGACCCGAGTTGAGGAAGGCGAGCGAGGTGGCGACTTTGATGGAGGCCTTTTCGTAGTCTTTGAGGGCATTGTCGTAGCGGGATACTTCGTACTTTTCGTTGTTGAAGTACTTGACTGCTTCGTAGTTGATCATGGAGTCGACAGCAACGGTTGCGGCTTTATTATCGGCGGCGTTGGCTTGCTTCCTGAATTTTGTGCGCCAGGAGGTGGTCATGATGGTGAAGACGGAGTAGGCGGTCATGGTGGTGCCGGTGATGAGAGCAAATTGCCAACCATATTGGTATGTCAAAATACCACAGACGAGGGAAATTTCTAGTGCTGTGGGGAAGATGTGGAAGACCATGGCTGTCAGCAAGAAGCTGATGCCCTTGGTTCCACGATCAATGGCCCTGGTCAAGCCTCCTGTCTGCCTTGAAAGATGGAAGCTCAGGTCCAACCTCAGCAAATGTTCGTAGACGCTGCAGGCGACCTTGCGTATAGCCTTTTGGGCGACGCTCGCAAAGACGGCATTGCGAAGTTCTTGAGAAACCGTTGCGCCAATGCGCGTCATACCGTCTGAATCATAGTCTCAGCCAAGATGGGGCAAAATATACATTGCTGGGTCTAGCTTACAAGCGATGATCATAGAGCCCGCTACTGTCGTCGCAGTGCCCCCAACAGCGGCAAAGTCTATGTTCATGGCATCTACAATGCTCTTGAAGTAGAAGGGAACCTGTACGTTGAGAAGCTTTGCGCCTATCAGCAAGCCCACACTCAATCCCACTCTGAAGCGCGTGCCCAGATTATCCTTGGGCCATAGGTACTGCGACATCTCTTTCATAATGGCCCAGTCAGCCTTGCGCTGCTGCTTGTTGGTGAGAAGCTGCTCTTGCAGCAATGGGTCCGCCTTTGCCATCTTAGAGGCTTGCGCATCAGCAGCTGCTTTGGTGGCCTCGAGGGTCGGCTTGGACCCTGGCTTGGGCCGCTGGCCATGCGCATCTTTTCTATGCAGGGGAGACGAGGTGAAGACGCGAATGCCTTGGTGTAGTGGATGTGGGCGCAAACCAGATGCGCGAAAGCCCGGCCGGCTGGCGACGCGGGCAAGTGGTAGAATTAACATGGCAGACTTGACATGTTATGGGTTTCGAGAGATACTGGGCGGTGGCCTTTTTTTGACGGCCGGACCAAGTCAGCTTGTGAGTACCTGAGGTTGCGGCATGCATGTGCATGGAAGCCCGCACGCCATCCCGCCGTCATTCAGTTAGCGCGTTTTGCGGCGTTAGGGCTGAAGCGAGGACTTGCATCATCATCATTGATTGCCCCGAGCTTGGTTATGAACATCTTCAACACTGCCAACCACGCGCCAATTGAACGGCACAGCCATGCTACGACCGGCTGCCTCGCCCTGGGCTTCCTTGTACCATACCCGGCCTGTTGCTGTACGGCGGATACCAATTGCTGCGCGATGCATCAACATATCCACCACAAATTCGTCTGCTGAGCCGGCGCTGCAGCAGGCTGTGAATGTTGAGGGCACGGCCACGCCTATGCATACTCCAGGTACCTTGCTTGCTTACATGAGATGATCTGAAAACTCATTGCTATGGTAGACGCCCGCTTCGACGTCATCGGCACACCCTTTTCACTCCTCTCCGTCTCCCTGTCCGCTTCACAAACGCTCTACACCCGCCGCGGAACTCTGGTTGGCCTCAGCGGGAAATCAGAAAACACACTATCCACACTCTCGTTCCTTGAGCCCTTCCGAAGAGCACCAGTCGGTATCCCCTTTCTCTACCAGAAAGTGTCGTCCACCAGCCCCGTCACAGCCCTCATATCGACTAAATCACCCATATCAAGTATAGTCTCGGTCAACTTGGACGGAAGAGATGACTGGATTGTTAGCCAAAGAAATGCTTTGCTCGCGTGGACGGGCCACACGTTGAGCCTCAAGCCCCAGTACAATGTGAAGCTGGGCCTGGCCAATTGGGGCAACACATACATCACTGGTCGAGGGCTGCTAGCACTTGCTGGCAGTGGGCAGATATATCAGGTGCAAGTCAAGGCTGGCGAGACCTACGTCGCCCATCCAAGGTAAGCCAAGAACCACAGTCAAGCGTCAAGCACGATTGCTAATTCTGCCACAGCAATGTGGTCGCATACACGGCCTCCAACACACCACCGATTCCTTTCCGCTTCAAGTCTTCCAATATCCGCTTCCAGGTCCCACATCTCGGTCTCGGTTCGTTGATTGAGAGCAGCAGATTCTTTAGGACCATGAGCCAGACGGCGACATGGCGGACCCTAGCCACGGCGTTCCACACTCTCAAGACATGGCTGCGGAGGACAGTATGGGGTGACAGGGTAAGCGACACCAACCGTCTACTCGACTGCAATCGCTGACATAACATAGCTCTTCCTGCGATTCCAAGGCCCAGCCACCATGCTCCTCCAGTCACGGGCTTCACGCATCAGCGACGTTCTCACCCTGAGGGACGTGGACGAGATTGCTGATAGTCCGCCAGGCGCGGTTCTGGACGCTGTTGAGAGGAAAATCAAGGACGAGATCAAGTCGATTGGAGAGGGCACAAAGGCACCTATACCCAACACAGATGCCTCGGGCACTATCAGGTATGCCACCATTAAGGAGGGCAAGGCCGAGTTTGAGAAACCGGCGGTTAAGTAGCTAGCAAGTGAAAAGCCTTGAGTTTAGCTTTCAATATAAAGTTAACATGGTTGGCAAGCGAGTCGGCCACCCCACCAACCTTTGCAACTTCAAAGCGACGCATTTCAACAACGCGATAACATTATTACTAGATATTGATACAATAGATTACTCTATATTAATTATATTAGTTTTACATGTGCATAAGTTATGCCTAGTCTCCTTACACCTACTGCAGCGCGTTAGAGCCCGCCGCCTATAGCCTAATCGCTCTCCTCCTTGACGCTCTTCATAAGCAATCTGCTAGTCAGCCTCATTTTAAGCTACTATATCCTCTCTAGCTCCGTTTGTGAGTACCCTATGCTTCTATATACGCCTTTTAGAGCGCCGCCTACGCGCTAAGGCTGCGCTGTTAGCCTTCTTAAGACTAGAGATTTAATCGCGCATTGGCTTAGCAGAGAGCATTATTGTAAGGGTCTCACATGGGTCAGGTATTTGAAACTGTGTTGAATTACAAAGTAATTGCAGTGCAGAGCTTGTAAGAAGCTCTGCGCGGAATATATCTAAGTAGGGGTGCGCATGGGCCACTAAACAGGTGGCTCGTGCGCGAACATTAAAACAACGCTAAGGCATCTAGCAGGTAGCCTGTGCGGGGCAACGGCCCAAAACCATCACATTATTACCTTAGCGCCCTTCTTTAGCTAGTTAATCGCTATAATAATAATTAAAGCTAGTAATAAGCTCTTGTGCTAGCGCACGCGCTCACGTATTAGGCTTAACTAAGCCTTAAGCTTACGCGCGTTGCTCGGCGTTCAAGCTACCTAGGGAGCCTCTAGTAGAGCTGCTAGAGGAGGAGTAGGTGTACGTAGCTGTACATCTAGCTTTAATAGAATAGCCTCTAGTTATAGAGGAATAAGGCCTACGCCGCGAAAGGCTAAGCAGATATTAGCTAGTGTAAATGCTCTATTAAATGCTATCTTAAATCCTGACAGAAACTCTAGCTTAGTAATGTAGTTATGTCAGAATAGGGGCATATTTTGGGTGGTGGACAAAATCCGGGTGTTTGGAGCTGTGGATTCTGTGATTCATTTAAATTAGTCAGCGCGCACAATCCACCGCGACCCAACTAATCCAACGGCGTTGGATCACAACACAACACGACATCAGACCACAATAATATAATCGATCCCTATTATAATGTTATACTATTCTCCCCGTGTTTAATAACCCATCATAATCTAACAATTAAGAGTCTTATCTGCTCTACTAATAATCTAACGACTAAATTGCTATAACCGCTTAAGCTAACCAACGGAACGCGATAGTGCTCCTACGCGACGAGCACGACTATCGCGCTTAGTATAGCTAACTCTAAGCGCGATGTGTCACCTACAACATATAGGAACAGGTTAATCCTAATAGGACAAAGCTGCTACTAATAGAGCCGTTCCCTCTAGAGCTCCTAGAGTGCGCCGACTACACGCTATTAACTAGACTCCCTGCAGGAGCTAATCTAACTAGACTATTAGATCCATCCTTAGTAGGACAACGAGCCTATAAGGACGATCTTAAGATCTTTAAACTTATGATAGTTGGGATGACACCGATCAGATTCGTTCAAAAGTGGAATCATTGATTGCTCTAAGGATCAGAAAGATCAGACGGCTGGTCCGGTATTTGTACATAATGGATCAGTCCCTTGGCACGGATCCGGAGTCTCAAAGACCCGATCCGATCACGTGATCATCCGACGTCCAACATCAAGTCCATTTCCGCGACACACCCCCCAGTCCGACGCCGTCTCAAAAAGTCGGACTGCTATTCGCGTAAGTTAGATCACTTATCGTGGTGCCCCTCTATCTTTTTGATCCTCTATAAGTCCGCCACTAACCGGCGCGCCCCTCTATATGTATAAAAGCTGCTCCTCTAGTCGCTTTCGACCATCACACCTTGTTCCTTCGAGCTTTTTTAAAAAATATGCCTGCTGTATAATTATAAGTTCTCCTTTCTATTCCTATAAAATGCTTAAAAATAAGTGTTCGCAGCCAGTATGTGCGGCTGCTTAGTTCCTTCTAGTAGCTTTGACTAGTCTCTTAAAATTAATCAATCGCCAACTATATAGCGGTCTAAAAAGTCGTCCTAGATAGGCTATGTTATCCTAGACCTTCTGCTCCTGTGTGTAGAAACCTGCTAAAAAATAATATCCGTATTAGTTAATGTCTTAGTCCTAAGTCTTTTTACGGTTAAGCGGTTAATCTTGCGTTTTAAAGACTTCGTAAGGTGCGTAGTAATAATTAATAATCCTTGCGCTGTAAATAGTTAGAGAGTGTTTATTATGCTGAAAACTAGTCAGCGAGCATTACGCTACCAACGCTAAGAGCGTTGCCCCCGCTAGGCTAGCGCTAATCCCTAATATTAATGCCTATAGCTTAGTCCCTTGCTTAGCTACTCTATATTTTCTACTTTACTATTACAAAAATCCTTACTATCGCCTTTACTCCGCACTATCACTCCTTCGCATTCCTACATAGCACACTCTCTGCTCGTCTTCGTCGTCGCCGCTCTAGTTATAGTAAGTTTAAGTAGCTGCGCAGTAGTAAGTAAGCAAGATACTAACGAAATACAGCCTAGGACTACTTGCGGCAAGGCCGCTTAATAAGCTAATGCTAAATATACTCGCAACTCTAAGATTACTGCCTCTAGTAGCTCGCGTTTGATTAGCGCTCCCCGTTCTACTGCTAGTAATCGCTCTAGGCCTAAGTCTCGTCGCCGCACCGCCTCTCTAATTAACGATAATGTAAGCCCGTTTTCCCGCTCGTCTGTTAAGAAACAATACAACTCTTAAGCTAGTGCTCCTCGCGAGTTCGCCTGCGAGCGTTGCGTTAAGCGGTAGGCTTCGAACAATAGTAATAGGCTTTATTATAATTAGGCTAACAGCAAGAGTGGTTGCTGCGAGGCCTACGGGAGCTATGTGTGTGCTCTAGTGTAAGTTTCGCGCTTAGTCCTTAATCTTAATCAGATTAGCTAATGCTGTTCCTAGCGACGAGTCGATCGCTAGTAACGTTTACGCTGCTATAAAGCAAGGCATGCTTAAGCAGCGCAAGGACGTTCCCTTTGTAAGTAATGCTCTAGTTAATTAATAGCTTGTGTATAGCTAACAAGGTTATCTAGTATATTATTAAGAAGTACTGCGATGTTGTCTTTGAGATAATCTAGAAGCTTAATAATTGCATTAAGTCTAAGCGTCTATCTACTCGCGCTTCTAAGAAGGCCCCCGTGTCTTATAATAACAATAATTAATTCGTTTCTAAAGAGGAGGACGTCGTTTTTTATATCGATAAATACCATGCCCGCTCTTCTTAGAAAGAGGAGGACTATGTTGATCTCTCTAGCGAGGCTGACTACACTACGCCTACTCGTAAGATAAGCATCTTTCGCTAGGATAAGTATAATCCTTTTCTTAATCGTGAGCCTTCTGCTAGTCCTTCGTCTGCTCGAAAGCCTTAGCGTCTTGCTATTCCTAATCGCGCTGCTATTCGTCGCAAGTCTATTTAAGACTTTACTAATCGCATTAGTAAGATGGCTATTAAGTTTGCTAAGAAGCTTGAGCGTGATAAAGCTTAGGTTCTTTTCTTTTCTATTAATCTCTTGCTCCTTCTTAGGTAAGCCTCGCTGATGACGCATTTTAGCTAATTAAGGCCTTTAGCCTTAAGCCTTATATAGTAGTTTCCTTAATTAGACTAATTTCTATAAACAACGCTTTATTAATTAGCGATCTGTTATTTCGCATCTTAAAGATTAAGCTGTGCCTTAAACTTCTTAAACTGTTGTTAGGTCAACGACTTTGTGAGACTATTAGCTAGTATTAAGCTGGTCTCTAGGTATTCTACCTAGAACGATCCCTTTGCGTGCTCCTACCTAAGCTACATGTTCTAAATGTCTACATGTCGTAGTCTTATTGTAATCCGGTTATTTTTCCTAACAACTAGCTAAATCGTTTATTGATTATTGCACTAGATCTTCTAAACGTCCCTAAGATTAAAGGTTAGTTCCTTAAAAAAGCGCTTAAGTGCTATAGCTTCCTTAGCTGTATGCTTAAGAGCAAGGAATTTAGCATTAGTAGTTAAGGTAGTTACTGTGTTCTAGCGCGTCGCTTTCTAGAAGATCGCGCCGCTAAAGAGCATCGTAATGTAGCCGTGCGATAAGCGACGCGTTTCTAGATCGTCCGCAAAAGACGCGTCGCTATAGATAACTAGGTCTGGTCTATTGTAGTGCCTATACTAGATAGCATCCTATCGAGTCCTGTATAGAGATATAATCACTCGTTCCACCGCCTTTATATGCTGATTACTTAGATTAGTTAGGAAATGGGACAGCCTAGAGACAGCAAAGGCTACGTTAGGTCTAAGTATAATAGCCGTGTATAGGACTAATTCGACTCTTTCCTAGTATACCTTAATCTGCTGCTTAGTTGCCTCTCTATTAGACTTGATTAGTTCTTCTAATAGTAGCGGAGTGAAAGGGAATATTCTATTCTTTAAGCTAAACTTCTTAGTGATCTTATTAATATACGTGTTATAGACTAGGGTTATCGTCTAAGAGTCTCGGTCCCGAATAACCTTAACTCTAAGGAACTACTTGACTAGTCCTTGTACCTTAATCTTATACTTCGAACTAATTACTTTCTATAATTCTATAGCTTAATCCTTAAACTCTTTGCAAAATATAAGTAGGATGTCGTCTACATAGAACAATAACAAGAACTTGCGATCCTTATCTAGAAATAGGCAGGGCTCTTCCTTTAAGCACTCTAGTCCTGCTTTCCTAAGCGATCTAGAGAACTCCTTATACTAAAGGAGTAGCGAGTCTCTTAATCCGTACAACGCGCGATTAAGCGAAATATATATTCTAGGTTTCTTGAATCCGTTACGTAGCTAACAGAATATAGGATTTTCTGCTGTAGTCTTAGCATTTAAGAATGCTCCTACGACATTAAATTGTATAATCTCTATATCGAACTTAGCTGCGATTGCTATAGCGGTCCTGAAGGATTTAGCTACTAACGTAGCTATATAAGTAGAATCTAGCAAGTCTTTTTCTTAGAGATTACCTCTTACAACAATCTAAGCTTTGCTTTAGTTAAGGTACCTATCTTAATCACACTTATATGTCTAAACCTATTTAAGCGGGAGTAGCTTATTAGGGACTTAATCTATTAGGATTATAGTCTATATACTTTTTTTCCTCAGCAAATTAATCTCCTTGTTAGAGGCATCTATAAATAGAGGGCGTATTAAATAGCTCTGTAGCTCGCGCTATATTACTAGTAGTTGAGGTAGGACGTCCCTATGCGGACGATCCCCTAAATTAAGTGCCTGCGGCACAGATAGATCGAGCGTCGCTAACATAACCACGGCATTCAGCGTCTTATAACTTGCTCGATCCTCCTAGGTCTGATTTATCCCTAGTATGTACTTGTGCTTGAAATCGCTCTTTAGACCATCTATATCTTAGAGATCCGCGATTAATGCGTGCACACCTCTAGGTGCAGCTCCACCTCCTAGTTAATCGTCTAGATCCTTGCTTCTGCCTCGTCTACGCCTAATAGGTATATAGCGATAGATTACATTAGGCTCTAGCTAATCTCCCTAGAGTCTCCTACTAGTTCTTTATATAGGCGCACTTAATCTAACATCTAGATCCCCTGTTAGCGCAGTCGCCCTTAAGGAAGATCCCGCTAATACGCGCAGACGTCCACGACGTCTCGTGCCTCGAGCAACTAATTATTCGCGAGTGGTTATTCCCTCTTAATTATCTGCGTTAGTGGACACTAGTTGCGCAGGAGATTTATCGAGTTGCGTCGGGCGCTCTAGCCCTTCGCCACGTGATCGAGTAACGACTAGATCACCCGCATCTAGATCTCTAATTCCACTAGGTTGATGCATTCCTTGTTAAATACTAGATAAGAAACGCTAATTAGCGTCTATCCTAGAGCTATGCGGCTTAGGCGTCTGCTCTAGGGTTGCAAGTCTATATCCTAGATTCTAACCTGTGCGAATTCTTAAATAATTACTAGCTAGTAAATTACTTTGCTTAGTCTTTGCTTGCCCTTGTTCCTATTTATCTACCTAGCCGGCCTCTAGTTTAGGTCCTTTAGGTAGCTCACCCCTAAAATTGCTCTTAGTAGTTAGCATCTGTTGTCTAGATTGCCTAATCTCTAAGAGACAGGATATTAATGTCTGTCCCTAGATTATGTAATTCTCCAATATTAAGTATATCCGCAAGTTCGATTGCTTGTTCCTTTAGCATCTTATCCTCGTTCTTCCCTATATAGAAACGAGTCTCGTTAAAGGACACATCGCGAGAAGTAATTACTTAATTAGTAATAGGGATCTATATCCTATAGAGATTAGACGCTTAATAGCTAACTAAATATCTAATATAACCCCTTAGATTAACTTTAAATCCACGACGATCTCGCCCTGCTGCGCGGTCCCGATCTAAGGGATATGCGCGACAGCTATAGGCGTAGATCCCACTCTAATCTAGTCGTAGATTCCGCGGTGCGGTGTCTAATCTGCGCCGGCTCGTACTATCTAAAGTACTGCCTAAACTAGCTCTCAAGGATTTTATTAGGAGATTAGTACTAATAGACTGCGGTAGGGCTTCTCGCGTATAGGTAAGCCGCCGCATCTATAATCTTAGGCTAGAGCTTCTCAAGGAAGTTTGCGCTAAGGCGCATTTTAATCGACTTCGTGATTAGCTCTTAGCCCGCCCGCTCCGCCAAGCTATTCAGCTCATATGTATATAGCGAAGGACTAAGGATTATAATCTCTTTCTCTTTAGCCTATTCCACGTATCTTAATCGCCCTCTCTAAGGCAAAGTAGTAGTATCGTTATTTTAATAGATTTCTATAATCTGTAAGTCGTACTTCTATTATACCTAAGCTTCAAAAGCTGTGATTACCCGCTGTTAGATATTCACTCTCATCTGGAATACTGATGAAATAGGTAATGAATGGTGATGATATATTGATTATTGATTGTGTGTTGGTTATGTCTACGGTTGTGGGCACACCTAGGGGGTGCCAAGCCTTCCTGTGATCCGATAGGCTCTCTCAGATGCCGGGTCGCGCTAGTCTAACCCAGCGTCTGTATGTTAGGGTCTCACAGGATCAGATATTTAAAACTGTGTTGAATTACAAAGTTTTTGCAGTACCGAGTTTCTAAGAAACTTCGGTAGAATTAAATACATGTGTGGGGCAGCGGGGCCTCGGCACCCGAGGCGCCGGCGTGGTCCGTGCTCAGAACACCAAGGTTCCAAACCATGACACGTCCCCCCTCCAAAATGCTCAAAGTCCCGACTGAGCGTTCAAACTTCCATTGAAAACACAAAGCAGGGCAACGGCAAGCTGCCCGTTGTCGTCATAATCATGAAAGGTGGCGTGAGGCCCAGGGCGCCCAGGGTTGCGGTCGTGAAAGTCCTGGACTGACTCCTTGCTGCCGCGCAGGTTGAAGTAGGGTTGCCAGCCTTCAGACTGGTCGTTGCCGACCCATTCAACTTTGTACTGGAGGCAACCACGGCGGCCAGTATAGGGGTCGTTCATTGTATTTCGTATGCGGGAGTCTAAGACTTGAGCGATAACATACTCTGTGTCGCCCTCATCGTTCAAATGGACTTCGGGGGGAGCGTTGTCGTTAGCTCTGGGCTGTCCAGGTAGAGCGTCATCCTCATATGGTTGGAGCAGCCACGGATGAAAAGCGGGAAAAATGTTCTTAAGGCTATCTGGCAGGTCTAGCTCATAGGCCATGTTGTCAATAACACGGGTAATCTGGTAGGGACCCATATTCTTGTGGTCTAGCGACTTGACTGGCCTTTCGGTCTTAATATGTTTAGCGTTGAGGAGCACCCAGTCGCCAACAGCGAAGCGGGGGGCTGGATGGCGGTGGACATCAGCGAAGTCTTTCATGCGTTCCTGGGTCCAGGCGATCTCATCGCGGAGGTACCGACGGGTTGCGTCAATGCGGTTTGTGAGGGAGTCAGCAGCGCGCCGCTGTGCTGCAGCTGGGGTGGCGTTAGTGATGGCGTGGGCTGGTTCTAGGCCGGAGCGAGGTTGGTAGCCCTTTGTTGCTTGAAATGGGGAAACTCCAGTAGCGGAGCTTATAGCGGAGTTGGCTTCGAATTCAGCTAAAGGTAGGAGCTGGGCCCAGTCATC